GGCTCGGGGAGGGTGGTGCGGGAGGGGTGGGAGGGAGGTTACGGGCGGTAAAATAATTTCTAGGATGGCGCGCGCGGGAGGAGGCCGAGACACGCCATGTTACCGACCACCACCGTGTCCTATGTATGACCCACGCGCTCACGAGCTGTCTCGTTGTTATTATTCCAGTTCCCCCCAAAATTAGCCCGTTCACGGCAGATCGCGACCTGCACCTCGGCGAGCGCACCACCCTGACGTGCTCGGTGACCAGGGGCGATTTGCCGCTGTCCATCACGTGGCTCAAGGACGGACGCTCGATGGGGCCGTCGGAGCGCGTCACTGTCACCAATATGGATCAGTACAATAGCATACTGATGATTGAAAGTTTATCTCCAGATCACAACGGCAACTACTCGTGCGTGGCCCGTAACGTGGCCGCAGAGGTATCGCACACGCAGCGGCTTGTGGTTCATGGTAATCCTCCTCTAGGCCCCCTTCAATTTTGCCCGACGACCGCCTGACCGCCCGAGTTTGTGCGTGCGTGTGTGTGTCCGTTGCGTGCGTGCGAAACACGACGGTCGGTCTCGGCGATGGGCCGCGCGAAGTCGCGAAGGGAGCCGTCAACGGCTTCGAGAGGCCGGGAATTCGCGGGAATATCGAAACGCTCCGCGAATAGTCGTCATCAGGACTCGACCGAGCAGTCGGAAAACAGTTAATTAGCGAGGAATCGAGCCACGTGAACGACGGCGATGCGACATATCGCGGTACACCGCGCGGTCCTCGGACGAGACCCCGTCGACCTTTCGTCGCCAAGGAACGTAGAGACTTGGCGACTTGTAATTAAAGATTGCTCACGCTTAGCGTGACTCCTCCTTATGCACGATACCCGCCTCTACCTCTCCCACACGTCCTCGAAGGGAAGCCGCGCTACTACGGCTTCTCGAGAGCGACGCCGCGCGTTCCCTCCCGCGTCCGGTTGTCCGACGATTTCTTTCGCGTCTCCGCCCACGCTCGCTCCAATTTCGCTCAATATGCGATGAATATCGGATGCCTCCCTTCCTCTCTCAAGGGAGGTATAAGATACGCGTGATCGGATATCTCGGAGGGAACGACGCGGTAGCTTCGGAAAGATGAACGAACGCTCGTTCTTGCGTTGGAAAGGATCGGATGCTGCGCGCAAGTGTGCGATGCCAAACTATGTGTACAAGGTGTGAGGGCGTCAGGAGCAGGTCCGCGGCGGGGCCACCCTCTCTCTCCTCTACATTGCTACGTTACTATACTGCCTCTATTGTACATATTCTACATATATATACATATTATATTCTATATATATATCTATACATATATACATGGACGTACTACTGTCTATATGATGCGGAAGCGGAACGAAAACGAAAACGAAAAGAAACAAGAAAAAAAAATATATATATATACACACATATATATATACCTCCACGGAGAAACTGTATATATATATATTTATGCATATATATATGAAAAAGAACACATATACCTGGTATACAAGGTTCTTGCGTTTTTTGGTGCCATCTTTTTCTTGCTCTCACGTATGGTTCTCTCTTCTCTCTTGACCTTTTCCAGTACCCCCTATTATTGAGCCATTTACGTTCCAAGAGGGACTATCCGAGGGGATGCGGACGCGGACGGTGTGCGGGGTCGCGGCGGGAGACCCACCCCTAACCATATCCTGGCTGAAAGACGGCCAAAGTCCCTTTCCCTTGCCGCCGAATCTCGCCTCCGTCGCAAACGTCTCCCAACTGGATCCCTACTCGAGCCTCCTCAGTATAACGAACCTCGCGGCCGAGCACTCCGGCGACTATACCTGCGTCGCCGCGAACCCCGCCGCCGAGGTCAGGTACACGGCCAAGCTACAGGTAAAAGGTAACTAGATGATCGCCGACCCCTGATCCTATCGTTCCTAACGATCACTTCGCCACCTCTCGATATATATATATATATACATATATATATATCGTTCCACCCCGACCTACGGTTAAAGAAAAGAACGGATTCAAGTCTCGGCTCCGTGTGTCCGTAGTCTCCCCGAAGAAGCCGCCGCGCTTTTGCCAGTACGTCGGTCATTCTCGTCGAGCTCGGAGTTTCGCTGTTCGTGAGTTACACGAATTGTCGCACCGACAACAGATGTCGGACGCGCTTGTACGTGGGCGCGTGGTACGAGGGAAGAATGGAAGAGTTTTTCCGTGAATTTATTGCCGCGCCGGTTGTATTACCGCGGAAGATAGTCCAGACGAGTTTTCAGCGTAACATCGATATTCCGTAACGAAGTTTCGGAAATTTGTCGGGCTCAAACGTCACCCTCTGGAGATCTGTCCCGTGGCTCCCTGTCGCCCGCTCTCCCTCTCGTCACTTGCCATTTCATCATCCACCGGGCCATCGACATATCACCGCGCTTATTGACTCGGTTCCCGCTTCACCATAGTTCATCGTAGCCGTGTTCTCGCCAGGATGTGACGTTTAGAGAGACGCGGTCCACGTGGAAGCATACCCCGGGCTTAAAGACGACGCGCCGTCGAAATTCGTTCGGGCGTGATCACGTTCACCCCCGGGCGAGATCACGATCATCACTGCTCCCGACCTCGTCCGTCCTTTCACGCCTCGTCTGTCCTTCTCCCTCCCGGCTCCTCCGACCGAATCGAATACCTTCCCCCCGTGATCCAATCGAGACTCCTTCTTACCCAGACACAGTGTGTATTACATTTGCGTTGCTTTGGCTCTCTGGGAATGCGTCGGTATCTCGTGGACCCCCGAGGTTTGCTTGACTTGACCGAATAATAAAGGTAACAGTTTGCACCTTTCCTTATTTTTTACTCGTTTCAACAACTACAACAGCAACATCAGCAACTGCAGCTACAGTAAATGAGAACGATCAGTATATCCAAAAATTAACCAAAAAAAAAAAAGAATGAAAGAAGTTAAAAGAAACATAAATCGTACTCTCTTCTGGCCTGCGTGCGTGCGTGTGTATGTGAGCATCGGTTCTTCTTTAATCGGCATGGTTACATCTCTTTTACGTAGCCGTAGATCACTCTGCCTGCATATTTTTTACATGTAAATAATATATATATATATATATACATATATTTATCTCTGTGTGTGCGTGTGTTTATCGAATTATATATTTAATTATACATATATATGTATATACCGAGAAGTATCTTGATCACCCGAGTGCGAGCACGTGCCACTACGCTCACGACCAAATCTTCACCGACCTTTGCGCTGGCTCTTCCTTTGGGCTCGTTGGAAGGCAACCTTTATTCACTTCTGCATGCTTTCTCACCATCTCTATCTCTCTCCCTCTCTCTCTCTCTCTCTCTCTCTCTTTCACACACACACACACTCTTTCTTTCTCTGTCTCTCTGCGTTTCCGTCTTTCTTTCTCACTCTTGCTCTCTATCTGTCGGTCTGTCTGTCTGTCCGTCTGTCTGTCTGTCTGTCTGTCTGTCCGTCCGTCTTTCTCTTCCTCTTTTTTAAATTTCTTTCGTCGCAACGGGACGAGGACGCCGGACGTTCGCGCAACGCGCCGGGGCAAGCTCTCCTCTCGCGCAAAAGTGGAAGAAGTAACGGTCCGGCGAGCGCAATAAAAAGGCCTTAAGTTCGCCGGGGTCGCCGATAAAGCCCCCCGAGTTTTCGGTCGCGCTCCGGAGCTTCGGTATTGAACTCGAGCGTTGAAAGCCCGTGCGCGCGTCCTCCGTCTCGTTGAGACGAGCGGTAATGTAGGCTAGTAGTACGTATATTATTAATTAAATTCGTACTTTATCGAACTAGTCGTTAGACGCGGGTACTTATATATATATACATATATATTGTTATTATTATTATCATTATTATTATTATTATTCGCCTCCCTCACGAGGTCCGCACCCAGACACATCCTGCCTACACACTTGCGTACCTCTTTCCGAGAGTTCCACTTGTTTCTCTCACACCGCCACCGTGTTTGGCTCGAGTATATATATCCGTATACTCACATATCACATATACTATATACATATACGTCTGTATCTATCTCTATCTTATCTATATATATATTATATATATATTGTCGCACGCGATCGATGCGTGGCCGATATTTTGCCGTCTTGTAAAACGTTGGAATACTTCCCACTCACAGTATCTCGCTTGTGCAGCGTTTTTTTCACCACAGTAAGAAGTAGAACCTGCCAAATACAATATACACCTGATCGTAAAACAGAAACCACAACCCCCTTTACGAGACTTGGACGACAAAATCGATGCGCGACGCAACGAAATCTCGCGCCGGGAAATTTATCGGAAGACAACGACGAGATCGAGATCTAGCATCCGTCTTCTTCTTCTTTCTCTCTCTCTCTCTCTCTCTCTCTCTATCTCTCTATCTCTGTCTCATTCTCTGTCTCTCACTCTATAATTTTTTTTTGTACCTTTGACGAGTTGTGAGAGCTATATATATACGTACTATTGTCATCACGCGCTATATCATAGAAACGCCTTCGTTCGTTGTCCTTGTGGTAGCTCCTAGGAGAGTTAACGTTGCAGATAATAGATGATCGAATCCTCCCCGCCCCTGTCACCTTCCCTGTTACCTTGTTACGGTGTAAATAGAGGTGAATTGTCTGCTGCTGCCTGCGTGCGTGCGAATGTCACGAGACTTTATATCAATTTGACACCCGCGAAATACGCCTCGCATCGATTCACGCCACCCTGATTCTCCACTCTGCCTCGCCCACATGACTTACCTTCATTCACTCTGTCTTCTCGTATCTTTATCAGTTTCTTCATCGTCGCTCGCGTAGCCGATAATGTGACGCGGGATACCGCGGGATCTCGCGGACTGAGTTCGCAGGTCGTACGAAGAGCGAAGAGAGCTGTGTTCCGGCGCAGTTTCCGAAAGAAAATCGAACCTACGAACAAACGAACGGACGAACGAACGAACGACCGACCGCACGGACGAACGAACGGACGTGCGAACGAACAACGTAGCTTCCGTTGTGACGCGCGCGAGTACCGTACATCTCTCTCCGTATACCACTCTTTTTCTCTTTCTCTCTCTCTCTCTCTTCTCACGCCTGGTTTTTATCGGTTCGTTTGAGATTCGATCTCTTTGACACGTGTAGAGTCGCGTTGCGCGTCGAAGCACAGGGACTCGGTCCACCAGCGACCAGTCCCTTTTGTTTGCGCCGCGCCTTTTTTCTCGACTCTCTCTGTCTTTCACGCAAAGAAAAAATGAAAGGATAAATACGTACCTGTCTCTAAATCGCTAACGACCAGTAAAAAACAAGACATAAGTTGACGTAGGGCGAGGAACAGCGGGGCCGTGTAAAACGGATTTCTCTGACTTGCAGTGCCGCCCAGGTGGATCGTCGAGCCGACCGACGTGAGCGTCGAGAGGAACCGCCACGTCGCGCTGCACTGCCAGGCGCAGGGCGTCCCGACGCCAACGATAGTGTGGAAAAAGGCCACCGGTGAGAGACGCGATCGCCGAGCGTGTGCGAAAACGTCGAGATTTTTCCGCGTCCGAGAGAGATAACTCCCGTTACCTCGGGATCTCCGGGTCGCGAAAACGAGCGAATTCCGCCGCGGGATCTTTCCCCGGCGATCCTGTTTCTCCTCGCGAAGACCGCGAGAAGAAATAGCGAGACGCGTTGTACGTGCACGTGTGTGGGGATTGTGATCGGTGCGATTTCCAACAGGAAGCAAAGCCGGTGATTACGAGGAGTTGCGCGAGAGGACGTACACGAAAATCCTCAGCAACGGCACGCTGCTGCTGCAACACGTGAAGGAGGACAGGGAGGGTTTCTACCTGTGCCATGCGAGCAACGGCATAGGAAGCGGCCTGGGCAAGGTCGTGCAATTAAAAGTCAATTGTGAGTATGCGACAAATTATTCCCGCGATAACGCGGAAACGTCAGAGACACGAGAGAGAGAACCGGCGTGCGTTTCACGCTTGAGACGCTTTAACGTTAGATCCCCTATCTTGCCGGGCTCTTGACAATGTGTGTATGTACGTGTGTGTGCCGCCGCACCGGCGGATTTTACAGCGTCTCCGTATTTCGCGGCGCCGTCGCGGCTTGTAACCGTAAAGAAGGGGGACACGGCGACGTTACACTGCGAGGTGCACGGCGATAAGCCGGTTACCGTCACCTGGCTGAAAGGCGGCAAAACCGAGCTGAATCCCTCGACGAATTACCGGTAAGTCGAGATTAACCGCGACGGAATCATCGGGGCGGAGGAGGGCGCGCGGCAGGACGCCACGCCGACAATCGATACGCGATGAATTAATTAAAACGCACGCAAAATCTCCGCGCCGCGACGCGTCGCAACGCGATTTTCGTTAAATTGTCATGCCGCTCGCGGCGGGCCGACGCGTTTATTGCGAAGCGGCGCTGAAACGGAATCGATCATATCGGCCGGAATTTGACAAATGAGATGTGTGACGGTCAAAGTGTTAATAATGCACACGACCGGGCTTGTAACGGAGGGTAAACCGACAGACATACAACTGCGCGCGAATTCGCGCCAAGTGGATCCACTCGAGAGCGAAGTCAAAGAGCGGGATGTATCGCGGATTGGCAATTTGGCTAATGGGGGAAAAAATATCGGGATATATACAGTGAGAAGAAAATTGTTGGTAACTGTGAACAAGTGATAGAATTAACAACATTCCGAATAGAAATGTATCTAGTCGGTTTGAGGCAAAAGCTAGTAGCTAGTACAGGCTAAATTAAATTTTCCAGCTCGTTATTAGCTCGTTACTGCCTGGTTATTCATTAAAATGTAAGATGTAAAATCGGTTTTTGCGTTCTACACAGAAAAATAGTCTTAAACCAATGATAGATGTTCTCATGTATAAGCAAGAATATTATAATATTCTTGGAAGATTTTTAGTCTTGAACCCACTTGAAACCACCTGAATAGCTGAGAAGCCACATTTATCAAGGCACTTTTATCGATCAAAGTTCAAAATATAGGTCATAACCTAGCCGCTATTATATATCCCACCATTAACATTTAAAAATAAAAGAGCAAATCAAAATTGAGGGTATATTATTCCCGAAAAATCGTAAAAACATCACGAATTAGTGTTACATCATCGCCTGGCAAACTAAGAGTTAAGATTTTTCCATCTCATAATTTTTTTCGTTTAATCGTCAGCTATCAATTTCAATTAGAGACTCCTTACATGTATATCACCATTAAAATTTTTGAGCTAAGATCAGATGAAGATATAGATGAGGCCGAAAATGACTATAATTTTGGTGGGATTTCTCTCAGCGTCTATATACCGTTCAAAGGGAAGGGTTTCACCGCCCGACGGGGGGGGAAGGGAATTAGCATTCCACAAACGATGTGATGGCGCGTACATGAATATTTCATACTTTTTACACTATTCATAAAGTTTCTAATGGATTCTCGTAAATCCGCGACAAAGCGTCACAGTGAAGCAGGAGGTGACGCCGGACGGTGTGATCGCGCAATTGCAAATCTCATCGGCTGAGGCCGCTGACAACGGCGCTTACTTCTGCCAAGCGAGCAACGTTTACGGCCGCGATCAGCAGCTGGTGCAACTCCTCGTGCAAGGTACGGGGTTTGTAGGTCAATTCCCGCCCGTTTTGCCCCGGTATAGAATAATTGAATTCCAAATGCGATACTTGCGCTCTATATAGAGATATAGCACATATATATATGTATGTATGTATGTATGTATGTATGTATGTATAGTACATATCTATAGATCGACGCGCGAGTGCATTAATATCGGATTCCGCACGTTTTAGAGCCGCCACAACCGCCGAATGCCCTAGAAACTGCCATGGTGGCGAGTCGAAGCATTAACGTTAAGTGGCAGCATAAGGCACAGGACACCAGCGAGGTCACCAAATATATCCTCCAATACAAAGAGGGCGAAGGTAAGTTGGCGAACAGTAGACACGGGTGCTACGTGAACGGGAGGGTCGTCGAAATCAAGCGGATTTCAAATAGAACGGTGTTTCACAATCGGTCGCTCCGCGGGCGAAATCGATAACTAATTTATTCAGTCCCTCGATGATACACATTTCTCTGTATTTTCCGATAATTTTCACATTAGGTCCATTTTGTAAAAATTGCCTTCCAATCTTGCCGGACGATCGGCTCGCTCAAAAGTTGATTTCCGCGTATTCGCAATCTAAATTTGCGCCCGAGCGAAAACCCCCCGGTGATTTTTGCAACTGCTTCACGATTGTTCGTCGAATCGAAACTGCCGCCAGGTGGGATGTGGCAGCAGCAAGAATTTACGGGGCCGCCCTTGCCGTACGCGGCGTTAATTGACGACCTGAAACCCGCGACGAGGTATACTATACGCGTGATAGCGGAAGGACCGGCTGGTCGGTCAGTCCCCTCGGCGGAGCTCGTCGTCAGGACCGAACCGCAGAGACCGGCTGGTCCGCCGATGAATCTCGCAGCCAGGGCGCTCTCCTCGTCCGAGATCCTCGTCACTTGGTCACCGCCGTTGCCGGAACTCCGTCACGGTGACATACAGGGCTTCAACGTCGGCTACAGAGAAACGAGGTAACACGGATACCGTTGTCGATGCGGAAATGGGATCAGCCCGTTGAATTATCATTAGATCATATCCAATTTCGACGTTGATGGAAATGACGAATACAGTGTGCTCTCTCTTTCTCTATTACCTTTTGAGAGAAAGCTGCCCGGAGTGCGTAATAAATTTATCTATTTATCTATCTATCTATTTCTGACCCATCGGTTCTGTTCCGTTGCAGCCTGAATAATCCGTCGTACAACTTTAGCTCCGTGTCGGGCGACGGAGAGGAGGGCGGCGGCGAGCTTCGACTAACAGGTCTCAGGCCTTACACCAGGTACACCTTGGTCGTTCAAGCGTACAATCAAGTCGGGCCAGGACCTCTGTGCGAGCCATTACTCACACAGACCTTGGAAGACGGTAATTGCGTATTAAAATTATATATTGCGATATAATAATTAAAATAACGATTATACGATAAATAGATATCGAGTCGTTCGAAATCCTCGTTTGATCGATACATTTTCCAAGCGCTTCTTAGTTTCTTTTTTTTTCTTTCTTTTATCTTCCTCGTTATCTCGTTCGATCCGAGTGAGAGACGAGCAACGAGCGAGTTTCCAAACGATCCGGTTGCAGTGCCCAGCGTGCCGCCGGACGACGTGAGGTGCGCGGCGCTCACCTCTCAGTCCCTGCAAGTGTCCTGGCAGCCGCCGCCCAACACGCACAGCAACGGCATCGTTCAGGGCTACAAACTGAATTATGAGCCGATCTTGGCAGACGCGTGGCGGGGAGTGGACGAGATGGAGGTGATTACTTCGCCGCGATTCGATCGTTCACTTCGCGCGTAATCTCCTAATCCGAATCGATGAATTAATCTCGTCGCTAGGTACGCAAGACAAGTGCTCTGACGACCGTTTTAACCGGGCTCAGGCGGTACACTAATTACACCATTCAGGTGCTGGCTTACACCAGAGTCGGAGACGGTGTGCCCTCCGCGACGATTTACTGCCAAACGGAGGAAGACGGTGATACACTTGAATATCTCAGAGCGCGATCTCTCTCTCTCCCCTTCTCTCGATTCGAACTTCAATAAGTGTTCCCCCCTCCCCTCCCGCTGTTTGTTTCAGTGCCGGGAAGTCCGGCCGATATTAAAGTCGTCGTGAGCTCGCCGCAGGCTCTCTTCATCTCGTGGCTGCCGCCGCTCGAACCGAACGGGGTCATCGTGAAATACAACCTTTACACGAGGTATGAAAAATATAAATTAAAATTGCAATCATCCCCTTCCTCCTCCACCCTCTCATCTTCTCTCACAGTTTTGCGCGCCAATCGCAGCGATAACGATGCACTTATTCTCGGAACTTAACTCAAGTCACACTTATCCCGTGTACATAACGAAATCCCCGCGCGTTCGCGAAGGATAACCGGAAATCCCCACAGAGTCATGGACGGTCGGGAGGAGCTGAATCACGGTAAGAAATCATTGCCGGCGACGAGCACGTATTTCGAGGCGACCGACCTGCAGCAACACGTGGAGTACCAGTTCTGGGTGACCGGCAGCACTCGGGTGGGCGAGGGCCAGAGTTCGAAAGTAGCTGCGCAGGTGCCGACGAATCGAGTGCCGGCGAGGATCACGTCCTTCGGCGGACACGTGGTGCGCCCGTGGCGGGGCTCGGCGACGCTGGCGTGCAACGCGGTCGGCGATCCGACGAGAGAATGGTACAAAGGCACCACCGAGCCGATACGCACGGATTCGACCAGGAACGTGCAGATCCTGCAAACCGGGGAACTCGTGCTGTCGAACCTGCAGTCGCAAGACAGCGGGAATTACACCTGCCAGGTGGAGAACTCGCAGGGCAGCGACAAGCTACACTACACCCTGACGGTGCAAGGTAATTCATTTCTTCTCTTCTCTCGGTTTTTTCGCCAACCGTCTGTCCGTCGCTTTCCTCTCATTTTCCGTCATTATTCCGGGGCGCTCTCTTGATTCGACGGGACAAACAGAGGTCTCGCTGAACAACTGCGACATTAATTGACATGTCGCCGTAATAATAATATCCCCGTCTAATTGTTCGATGCCATTATGATGCTGTTACTGCTGTTACGTGATCACAGTATGCCGATATCCCGCTAAATGGATTTTCATAATAACAGATCGCGGCAAATATAAATTTCGTTGTAGCGAGTAACGATTAATTACTGGCGGGATATTAGGTACAGTGTAAAATAACACCGAATGTTGCAGTGCCGCCTAGCGCGCCGGTGTTGTACGTAACCAGCTCGACGTCGAGTAGCGTGTTATTGCACTGGAAATCCGAGCATAACGGCGGTGCGCCGCTGACGGGCTACACGTTGTATTATCGAACTACTCACGGCACCCTCGATGAGTTACAGTTATCTCGCCACGCTACCAGCCACGAGCTCAAGGTAAACTCCCGCTCGAGATGAATTCGCGATGTCAGCCGCCAGATTAAGAAGTGCCAATTCTTACGGGAGAAAATTACTCCCGTAAGAAGAACGTATAGTGAAAAATTGTGTGTTACAAACGGCCCACTGAAATTTTGTGTTACTTTAACGTGAGAGAGGAGCGTGTTAGAAAGTACACAAATATAATGTTACATTTATGTCGACAAGATGAATGTACCGATTTAACGATATCTTTGTGTACTTTTTAATATATTTCCAATTAAAGTAACGCAAAATTTCAGTGGACCGTTTTTAACATGAAATTTTCCACCGTGTAGATATAATGCGAGATGTAATAAATATATCGAGTCGATCGAAAAATTCAGTTCGATCTTATTGTCAAATTTGACTTTATTGTGCTGAAAAGAAGGCAATTTTTTACCAGTCGAATTATTGCTGTCGTCTACAATTTTTCGCCAACGTTTTCGCAGCGACCTTACGACCAATTTAGCAACAACAAAATCGACATGATTTATATAAAAAAATAAATAATGAATAATCCGGGTGTATGTATATGTTAACGCGAACGAAACTCTCGATCTAAGTTTAAGAAGTGAATTAATCGAGAACGGCATAAATTTGTAACTTTGACTTCCGAACAGGGCCTTCTGTGCGGCAACACGTATCAGTTGTACCTGACGTCGCACAATAAGATCGGCAGCAGTCCGTCGTCGCCGGTGCTCTCCGTTCGGACTCAGGGCCAAGCCCCAGGAATTCCGCCCGCGGCTGCCTTCCTCAGCCCGAATTCCACCACATTAGTGCTGCGACTGCACGTGTGGCCCGATAACGGGTGCCCCATCAAATACTTCGTCATTCAATACAGGCCGGCGAACGAGTTTCATTGGACTCTGGTGTCGAACAGCGCCAAAATGCAACGGCGATTCGTTGTGACGAATTTGACACCCAGCTCGGTCTATCAGCTCAAAGTCGAGGCTCACAACGTGGCCGGTAGCAATCACGCGGAATTCACGTTCGTGACGTTGACGAAAGAGGGTGGTAAGTCTGAGAGAGAGTAAATCAAATTGATGTTAACAATTCTCACCATTTCCTCTAATTCCAACCCTCGGCTCTCACAATGAAAGAATGATTTAATAACAATTACTAATGTTTGATGAATGTGTTTCAACCAAATGTTTGATTACTACAACCAAATCTATATACTGTACTCTACTGTACGTACAGTATATGGTATTACACTGTGTATATCGTACATGGAACTGAATGATTTGGTTACAGTAATCAAACATTCGGCTGAAACATATTTACCAATTCTTGATAATTGTTATCAAATCCTCCTTCTAGTGTAGACCTGCTTATTCGTACTTTTCGATTTCCGATCCGAAAGCCTAATTTATTGATTTATTATCTTACCGTTTTTGTTTTTCTCCTCCTTTGTGCAACGCGGCAAACGCGGTGGAAAGTGTGCGTGAACTCCGACGAAACTATCGCGCTCAAAGGCCCATTTCCAAAAGCACTGTGTTCCTGTAACTTTACAGAACTGCCGCCCCCAGGACTGTCGAAGCGCGGCATAACGTCGGTTATGCCGTTTTACTCGGACGTGAAAGTGATCCTGCCGTTGATCGTGGCCACCGTCGCGTTGGTCGCCGCGGCGGTGATCGTCGCCTTTCGTTGGAGGAACAGTGAGTCCGACTTGACGAATGTGTACTTCCCAGATTTTTTCTCAAAACACCCTTTGCCTTGAATTTTCTTCGTTATCTTTCATTTTCATCGATTAATTATCGAAATGATAATCCGACTTAATTATTTATCCGATACTCTGCGATCCGGAGAGTGCGTTTTTGCCGAATCTCCCCGACATACTCCTGTAATATATTTTCTGACGAAAATTGAGAAACTGGAAGCCTCCACCTTTGCCAGGATACTTGGGGGATCGAGTACAACGGCCGATGAAGGAGTCGCAGGAGAACCAACAGAACGCCGAGACGCAGCGGGAGCGTTACTACGCCACGATACACAAGGTGGCCCTGCAACAGACGGCCAATACGGGCGGCGGGCCCGACAAGATTCCAGGTGAACCTTTGTTACGATACGGACAACCACCAGGTTTGGTACCCAATTTGGTATAATCACGCGCAGGTAAGAGCCGGCTGCCTCTGGCACCGTCGCTCGGGAGTGAAAGGAGGTCTCCCAAGAGAAGGGAGTTTCGAAGGGAGATACTTGAAGCGATATCCTGTTGTATCCCTCTGGAAGTAGCAAATTATATTTGTTTAATTTTTTTTTCTCTCCTTCATTTCAACGAACTAACTATTTCGATCTTGCATGCGAGATCCAAGCGAATTTTCATGAATGTATTCGCGAATGGATGGACGACTGAGAGAGCTAGCCCGACGCGATTTGAAAGGTAGGCAATGCCTCTGGTGGGTTACAGAGACAGCGGAGGACATTTCGCCGTACGCTACGTTCCAGCTTTCGGAGGGTGGCGGGGGAAGCCTGGCAGGATTGGGCGCATTGGGAGGACTGGGAGGCGCGGCGGAGGCGTCGGCGGCCGGTCTGCATCCGAACAACACTCTTCTGCACAGCTTCATGTATCACGAACACGCCATGACCGAAGGATGCGCGAGCCCTCCACCGGCGGCGACGGTATTTGCCGAGCGTTCCCAAATCATTATTATCGTTCGCCCTTGGAATGTCGCGAATTGCATAGGATTTTCGTTACGTGCATTTTTTTGGCAAATAATTCTCAGTCGAAAGATCCTCAATTAGAAAACAGAAAGGGAAGGTCCAGGATTTAATATGGTAATGACGGCAGACCGGAATGTTATCGCAATGTGAATTACGGTAGAAATATGATGTGCGCAGAGCATGAAGAGCGTCTCGTCGAGAAGGAGACAGCAGAGAAAGCAGCAAACCCCGGGCGATGTCGAGAGCGACGAGAGCGAGTCTGACCCGGACCAACTGATCAGCTCCCGCACGGAGTCGTCGAATCAACTGGACGCTGGCAAATTAAAACATAGTGCGTCTCCCGATCTCTGTCTGTAAACGAAACTCGCTCGCCTCACGAGACGAACGTACGAATCGTTTCCTTCCTTTTTACAGTTCGCGCAGTCTCAGATTTTATCTATCACGGCACGTCGAGCACCTCCTCGGACATTTCTCCCATGTCGGAGCAGAAGTCGCTGCCGCGAAGGGGGCGGTCCAGGTAATGTCTGACAGCGCCGCAAGAGCACAGATCTCACACCGCACCGTCTCGTATCGCACGTTTCTCTCCCCGTTACGATTTCCCTTCACCTCGCGGCATCGTTTTTCACGCGGCATCGATGAAAACATTGCCCGACAAAGATATCCCCGAGCGGTCTCGAGCTTATCGAAGTTTCGTGATGATCTCGTTTCGTCTCGAAGTGCATCTGTAGGCCTGTTCCATAACTTTTAACGACAGTGTCGTTATCGTTACGTTATCGCTATGCACAGCTTTTCTACTTGGCATATATTATAATACCATATATTATACCTTATGGCAATATAACGGTAACGGCATGGTCGTAAAGCTGTAATAGCACACACAAGAACGTAAGCAGTGAGCAAATTACATATATGTATATACCAAGAACGCGTTTTTATCTATTGTAAAAAAGGAAATCTTCCCTATTTAATAAATAAGTAAATAAGTAAATAAATAAATAAATAAATAAATAAATAGACTAATCACAGTCGACTATTCTCCTTACGATCTAAGAATAATCGATTGTGATTGGTCGATTTGCTTATTGCTTACATCCTGCTGCTTATGTTTCTGCGTGCCACGGGCTTAAAAGTCACAGAATAAGTCTAGGGAAGCGAAATCGCGAAATTACGGTTCGCACCTTTACACAACAAAGCCCGAAGCATCCTTTCAAAATCAGTTATAAGACGCTCTCGCAATTGCCGCCTAGTAAGTCTCGTTTCTTTTGGCTGTCTCGTAAGATGGCATGTTCCCAGCAGGAGCTCCCTACGCACGCTACTGCCGCCGATCTCGGTCGCGGAGACCGCGTTCGTCGGCGGCAATCAGGGAACTGTGGTGCCCACGCCTGGGAACGGCGATCGGCCAGAGCTCAGCGAGGCCGAGTGCGACATCGACTCCCTGAAGAAGCTGAAGCTGGGCCTGAGGAGCTCCCTGTGGTCGCGACCGAGTACCCAGAATAATCCCTCCTCGGATTATTCTATCGCCGTTTAATCTGTCCCACCCATCCACCCCCATTCCCATCACCCTGGCTCTCCTGTCCACGCGATATCGTTCTCCCACGGTATATAGCTCTCATCCCCCTGTTCTCCCCCTCGCAACCCCGCGGGCCAAAGATTAGGTAAAATTGATCTTACCCTTCGTGTCTCGTCGAGAGGATTCCCTCGTGGCCACGTAGGGCCACTCGACTGCCACGGCCGCGTCTCTGTCGGCGATAGGTAAATTTTGCGTTCTACTCGTTCACGACGATCGATAGGGAGAGACGTGAGTAGATAAGATCAAGGGGAGGATCGAGACAACGGAGGTGGACGCGCTAACAATGTAAGGACAACGTTGAGCCGATAGAGGCAGAACCGACCGCTTGGGTCACATCAGGTTATCACCTTGCGAGAACTCTTCGGCTCTCACACGGAAAAACAAATCTCAGTTTCCGCAACTGAATGGGGACCAGATGATGACTCGGTGGCGAGAAATGATATATATCTCTGTTATCGCGTCTGAGAGCATTCGTCTAAGAACATTCGCAGAGAAAAAGATCAGTCTTGAATCAAAAATAAATATTCTCATATATAAGCAAAAATATGATGATCTTCTTAGAAGATTTTTGGCGCCTGATTTGATTGAATTTTTGTATTGATGCAAATATTACTTTCACTCCATTCAAAATTACATATTCTCCAAGAATATGATAATATTTTTGCTAATATATGAGAATATCTATCGTCAATTTAAGACTATTCCTTTTCTGTGCGGCTGCGTTGAAACTCGCTCGGGACAAGCGAGAGCAATTGACTGGGCTCCCAACCTCCAGCGGGAATCTTTCCTCCGGTCCCCTGGAAACGGAAAATTCCGTTGCACCGACGGAATTGTTTTTCCCGTGTAGGATTCGTAGACGGAAGCCTGGCCTTCGTTTGTAATTCACGTCTCTCGCATCGCTGCGAGCGCGTTGTCCTCGATGCGAGCGCGTCACCTCGTCGATCGATCGTCGAGAGAGCTAGTCGAAAGTATCTCTAAAAGCGTGCGGCGTCTGTCTCCTCTTCCTTGCTGCGCGATGAGCGTCGCGACGTAAAATACAACACGTGCGTGGAGTGCGTGAGTGCGAGTGAATGTGAGTCCCGAGCGAGTGCGTGGATGATCGTCGAATCGCGCGTGCGAATGCGTGCCAAAACGACAATTTGCTCAGACCTGCTGCGAGTCGTTCGCCGGCGGGCGATCCATTCGAGACCAAAGACTTAATCGTACGAACAGAGCACGGGAGAGTCCTTCGCGTATGACGAATTTTAAACAGGTGGCATCCGCGCGACGCTGCGAGCTGTCGTTTCCCCGAGAGAGATCCTCTTTGCGATCGCGTTCGTTCTTAAACGTTCCCTGATGCGTTGATTACCTTCAAGTCTGCGTGTCACCCGTTTATCGTAACTTTCCACGCCAACGTTACTTCGATCTGTACAATTCTGATTTCGCATAAATCTGTTCGGGAGCTTCGAGGAGGATTCCAAGTGACATTAGTAATCGGCAGAATTGCGTTCTTAACTCTCGCAAGAATCTGTCCCGCGGAATCGTTCGCTCGAAGAGGTATCGATCGTTGCTTCGGCCGCGTCGCGTTAATTTCCTGATCGCTCTCTTTCTCTCTCGCGGGAAGAAGGAAGAATTTTTAATACCCATTCCATCACCTTCCCAAGAGTGTCCCGTAAATATAAAGAGGCAGCAGGGAAAGCTTCGGCCACCCTGTTAATACCATACTCGTCTGTGTTCGAATTGTGCACGCGCGCTATTAGGACCGGGACGAGATAATGACGCGGGAACGGATCGGAAGGCGGAAAGAAAGCGGACTTCGTCTCGTTGATGGTTGGGCTCTGTTGCGTTGTAAAGTTTATATATACGTACGAATAGCACCGTTGATTACTTTAAGTCCGTTATTATAATCCTAAGACTTCTATGTAGAGCGTTTCCCGTGCGCGGAGCGAGACGATCGAGAAGGAGGGCCGAGCGCGAGTTCTGTACATTTCCGAGGAGAACCCGAACCGACCGACCCGGTCCTTTCTTCCTCTCTTTCTCCTTCTCTCACTCCCTGTCACTCTCTTCTTCAATCTCTCTTCTAATGTCGCGCACTTCGACACTTCGTGAGAAACCGACGCGGCCAATCTTCGTACCGCGTATAATGCGACAAATTATTGTACGCGCCAGCGAGACTCAGACACACCTCAGACTGAAATCGAAAGTACCGTGAAATCGTGCCGATAGAATTAATCGAACGCGCGTATCCTGCCGCGCCGCGAGCTTCCGATAACTTCCACGACACTGCCATAACCGCGGGATATTTGCGACTACTTACTGCCGTACGAAGGGGACGTTATACATTCGAGATCGCTTTATCGTATTCCCGAACCGAGAAACGGGAGAGAGGCGAAAAGAAAAAGAAGAAAGACGAAGAAGAAAGGATCATTTTTGTAACCTTTACCAAGCTCGAGGTGAGTTTTCGGGCGCGCACCGTTCGACACCCCTTTCTCACCCGACGAGCGCGCCACTCTAAATAGTTAAGTACACTGTACGATGTTTTATATATTCGGACCTGTGATGGCGCACGAGTACTTCCACTTTCCCGATTTGTTTGAGCGCGAATGAGACCGTGTCGAATTCAATGCACCGCCCTCCGTGCCACACGCGGTAGCTCGCGATCTCAGCGAGAGGGAATTCGTTAGTCGAGCAATAACGTCAAGCGCGAAATTGTCACGGAGCGACGACAACGACAACGACGTCGACGACGTGGACAACGACGACTACGACGATGAGAGAGAGAGAGAGAGAGAGAGAGAGAGTCGGGGCGAGCCGTGTGCGCGACACCACGAAGACGAGGCCGTAGGTATACGTACGTGAATCTACATATATTTGAGTACACGGGCATCAAGGCGCGTGCATACAGCGGATGTACGACGCATACGTTAATGTATATAAGGGAAGCACGTCAATCAAATCAACTCGTAGTGTTCGATTAATTTGATAGAGCGACCAGCCTCCCCCCATTCGGCGGGGGCGGAGACGCGCGAAGTGCGATTCGTCACGGTGCGTTTGCCGGACGCTCCTCGTCGAGCACACGCACGGAGTTTTCTATTATACTTTTCCTTCGTCGTTTTCTCTTGCGTCACGGACCGACCGAGTTCTGTCAGTCTCTCGTCGTGACCTTTCCCTGCGGGACCAGTTGCTCTTTGTTGCCGGTAATAGTAATCGATGAGCGGACAATGGACAAAATTTTCCAACGGTACGCACCAACGTTCTCTCGGACGACCGATCAACGAATTTTTTACACACACACATACACACATACATACACGCATACCCACGCGATTCTTTACGAGAGCAATCCGGATTGAACGATGCCGTTTGTCCGATCATTTTACTCGGGGCACCGTCAATCGTCATTCCCCGTCGAGAGTATACGACCGTAACTTTTTGATCCTTTTTACATATCGGATTTTTACGTTACAACCGCGAATCATTAAACACGGTCCTCGAAGGATGATGCAATGACATAACTCGGTGCATCCTCTCGTCACCCCTCCCCCCCTTCCGCGGATAATCCGCGCAGCGCTTCGAGAACGTCGCGCTTCGATTGTCGCGTCGATGGCGGTGAGTGAGCAAATCAAACGGACAATTGTTATTGTAACTGCGATTAACGTCGTTGTAAAAGAAGAAGAGGAGGAGGAGGAAAAAAGAGAAAAGCCCAAGCGGCGCAAAACGGTCCAGTCGAGATCGCGCTGAAGATCGCACCGCGAGCGATAACCGAGCCGCTGCTCGCGAGTTTCCTCCCCGTTCCTCCGCGAACGGGGAGGGGTGTTGTACGATTAAACGAATTGTGCGATTAAATTTAAACTGTATTAAATCTGTGGTACGGAGTTTCGAAGCATTGTGTCGATCGTAGAATCGATTAAATAAATTGATATCGTGTAAGGTAAAACTGGCTGGATTCAATAAACGACCCTTGAAGACGTTCGACGAAATTCGCGTTCGCGCGTGTCCCGTGCAAGTGAGTGATGATTCGAGGCGCGAAGCTCCGCTCAGTAACCCGTAAGTTCCGAAAACGTGGAGTCTAGGTCGTCGCAGATATACTTGTACTTCTCCTTCTCCTTCAATAGGTAATCTGAAACGTCAGGAATAACGGATCAATGATTCGATTCGTTTGGACTTGGAAGAATGAGGAGCCGCGCGGAAACGCACATGGAAGGACGATTCTCACCTTCTCTCTTGTCCAATTCCTTGGCGAATACTTTGACAGTTTTCTCGGCGAATACGGCACGTTTCTCGGCGGCTTTCAGTTTCACCTTCAGTTCCTTCAGTTGCGTTTTGAACTCCTCCACCCTCTGATTAGCCTGCGATAGTCTGATTACTTTAGTAACCTAATCATGGAGGTGCGGAAAGAATATTATAAAATTCACGAAAACATTATTTTACCTTTTCCTCTGATACCTCCAAAGACTTTAAGATGTTCCCAACGATAAATAGCTCGTCTTCCCGTTCGACAATTTTCCTGAAACGACGACCGTGTGCGTTAATTATATTATTATTATTATTATTAATATCTTTGCTGAATACGAGTATTAAGTTTAAATACATTAAATGAACAGTAAGAAGATACTCAACGAGAAATGACTCATCGAATCGACGTCAATTTGATTGGGTATATATTCAACATATACCCTGTCGCGGGGCGACAGATAAGTAAAGAAAAAATAAATATGTAGAATAGTGAAAATAAACGTAAAATAAAATATCAGACGAAATAGAAATAGAAATAAAAGTAAAAAAGGAAATTATATGTTGGTCTCAAGTCGTTTTAACGTATCTATCGCGATACAAACGTATGAAATATTAAAAGATATTTATTATAACTCTCAACGCGTGGTAGAAGAAGTACGACGATGAATAATTATTAAAATTCCCGGATATTCAATTATTAAGAGACCACTACGAGGCGTCCGGCGCTATAGGAGAAAACTTTTGCACCGTGGTAGGACCTTTGAAAAGTGGTATACACTGTGAAGTGTCCCCGACACAAACTGAGAATAGACGGGGCAGGATTCAGCGGAAAAGAACGCAGCCGCTCTATTTCGAGAATCGCACGCGATACGTACGCCTCGCTCGATTTAACCCTTTCTTCCGCCGCCTCGAGCTCGTCCTCGACGAACGCCAATTTTCTCGATATCTCATCCGACTTGGTGTCAGCGTCCTCGGCGATGAGCCTCGCTTCTTTCAACTGCGCCGTCAATTGGTCCATCCGCTCCTCGTCCTGCTTGCTCCTGTTCTTCAGGACTTTGCAGATGCTGAGTAAAAAGAATCTCGCTTTACGTTTACGACACTCGTAACTTTCCTCACGGCGACGATGTCGCGCGCGTCAGCGAAAACGTAATCTCTCGGTAACTCGAAAATTTTCGTGGCGCTGGCGCCGCTGTAATATTTTCTGCAGTGGCTGCGTAATGAGATAAGAGCGCGTGTAATAATAATCGGACGCGAGAAGCCTTCCTGTTAAATTTGAGATGAACGTTTCAGCGGAGTCTGTCGTAATAAGCGAACGGTCATTACCGCTTCGCGTCTTCCGCGGTTTCCATGGCCTGCGCGAGCTTCGCTTGGGCCGACAAACGTCGCTCCTCGGACTTCTCCAGGTTCTGCATGGACTGCTGCATTTTTCGGTTCAGCACCGCCAGTTCCGACTGCGTCTGCAATTACATATTAGGGCTGCCGATAAGTAATCAAGTCTACATCTGCGAGACTTACACTTGTCGCAGTTTCTAGTTTTGAGCTGTGTGTCATATAAACAGCGTTTTCTTAGTGCGCTACATGTAGGTGAAATATTCAACTTATTGTTAAAGATTTATTAAAAAATTGAATTGGTGAATCATTATTTAGAAAGTGAAAATTTTATCTACTTTTGAACGTGTTCCATCTTGAAACACTTGACTACATTGTGTACCCCTGATGTAATCAGCGCAAGATAGAGAGAAAGATACGGATGATTAATTCGAGGGCGCCAGGAGTGCATTTTTCCAGTTTACTGACCACGATGTAGACTCTTTCCTTCGTCTCAAGGCTCCTGTTCGATTTGATCAGCTGGGCCTTGCTCACTTCCAGATCGTGTTCCATTTGTACCAGTTTTTTCGCCAAATCGCGCACTTCGTCCCTCAGCTTCTCCTCACGGCGATTCGCCTCCTTCACCTGCTGATCGCAAAGATCGGCCCTGTCCATCGCGAGATCCTTCTCGAGCTTTAGCGTCTGCAGCCGCTTCTTGATGGCGTTCATGATCGCTTGGTCGGAAGCCGATCGGAAATATTATCTTCCTACCGACTAGATCGGTTCGATGGAGCTTTCAACAGGATGTCAGCTGCCCCCAGCTTCTCCTGGCGTGCGTTCTTTACGTCGGACCAAATAATGTCGGCAATTGAATCGTAAAAATTGAAAAGTTTTCAGCCGCAGTTTCTTCAATAATAATTTAGTAATTTTATTCCTGCTTTTAGTTTTTTTTTTTATCGAACGCAAATGCCCGGTCGAGAATGTTCCGCTCGAGTCGATGCACGTGAAGCACTTTCACATGGAAATTTCTTTCCTCGCTGTGAACGAGAAAAAGGAAGAGTGAGAATTCCCTCAAGCTTAGATTCACAATGAAAATTTGCAATTATTGAATAGAGGCGGGCGGAGTATCAAATGCAACGCTCGCGGGTTACTGTACTCGGTGACCGATGAGAACAATGCTTTATAGGCTCGGCGAAATGCAAAAGAACCAAGCCGAGTGTCGCTTTAGTTAGACTCAAAAGGATTCTCGGACTTCTTGAAACGCCGATGCGCTTTATTGTGACGCCAGTAATTGCCGATCGCACATACATCGAACATTCGCTCGATGCGCAGGTCCTACTGAAGACTGTCGGCGTGTCTTAAAATATCTTCGTTTCGTAAAATAACCTAATGTAATTTATAACCAAATCAAATAATAATAACATCCCTGAGTCCGTTTTTCTATTGTCCATTCTTCCTTATTAAGATTAGTAAAACTATAAACGATGTGATTGACGTTAATCCGAGTTATCCAATTACAAATGTTTTTAAATAAGGGACGATAAAAATCCTTGAATACGCGATCGGTCGAACTCAAGAAAGTCAACGATCACCGCAGATGGCCAGGTATAAATATGAATGATCTAAGAATATACATTATACCTTGTTTGAAGCGATATTTAATTAAATTTAACACAGAAATCCCGAATATCTCTTTAGCACTAAAGACGTCGGGTAAGATGTAAAAAACACTCCCGATTGAAACACAAAAGCTCGACTGTACCAACTTTTCTCATTATTTTTATTACTTGTTACTTGTCTCTGTGAACATTTTCACGGCCGGCCTATCGGCAGCGCGACAGGGAATCGCCAAATAAAGACTCACAGGGGGGGGGAGTGAGAATTCGTGTGGTGTCGTTTATTGAAAATACAGAATTCACATAGAACGATAAAAAGATCGCGCGATGTCGGGGCGAGGTTCGCGTCGTCCCTCCGACGTCTCTGAAAGAAAAGAGAAACGGACGAAATCGTCAGTGCTCGATCGACAAGGAGTGCTACCACGAGCGACCGTGAACCAGTTGTGCCATACTGGTCCGCCGCTCTTGGCAAGGTGTTAAACGAAGCGAGGCGGTTATAGCAAGCGAACCGGGGATGCACATCGCGTGCCTTGTCCGTCAGTCGCGTTATTGCGCGGTCCGCACGAAGCGAGTTATTTCTACTGCCGCTTATGGCACCTCGCGGCGAACGAATGGTGGTGGCACAGCCGAGCAGCCTGAGCGCGCATGGATACGGATAGCGAATAAGCGGAGAGAAGCGAGGAGGAGAGCGGCGAGGAGTCAGCCCGAGGAATCCGTATCCTGGGACTCTAATATCCTGTCATCTCGGCATACGTCGCGTCCATGTCGTCGCAGACCGCCTTGTACTTCTCCTTCTCTTCTCTGAGCTCGTCTGAAAGCGGATTCACGGTCAATTGTATCGCACGGAAAATCGTTCCCCTCGTGTCTCCTCGGGGAACGAATTTCGAATGAAAATCTAAAGAGGATGAAAAAGGATAAGACAGACGAAATAACATCGTCTAGCTACATCTCGGATTTGGCCCGGCAACAGCACTCATTGCTGCCATCTTCGGCCTTTCCGCGCCTTCTTAGCGCGATATGTCACGGTTTGCTGCAGACACGCGATAAAATGTGCAGCGGAAGTAAAAATGGATGCGTCTTTCTCTCACCTTCCTTCGTGTCCACCTCCTTCAGCAACTCCTTCACCGTCCTCTCAGCGGTGATCGCGCGCTTCTCCGCCTCTTTCAACTTCTTCTTCTGGGATTTCAGCTGCACCTTGAAATCTTCCACTCGTTGATTCGCCTGAAATCAAATCGACCGCTATGTGACCGTGCGGTGAAACAGATATAGCGATGTAATGAAGTTATCATATTTCGCGATTACCTTCTCCTCGGACACTTCGAGAGACTTGACGATGTTCTGCACGATGAAGAGCTCGTCCTCGCGCTCCACGATTTTACTGCGAAGAGACACATCTTTCTCAGCGAGACGGCTTGTTTACGCGAATCACGAATGCGAACCGGATATACGTACGCCTCGCTGGTCTTCACCCGCTCCTCCGCGGCCTCCAGCTCCTCCTCGACGAACTGCAGCTTCCTGGAGATCTCGTCGGACTTGGAGTCGGCGTCCTCGGCGATCAGTCTCGCGTCCTTCAACTCCGACATGAGCTTCTCCATGCGCTCCTCGTCCAGGCGACTCCTGTCCGCCAGGACATTACACATTCTGCCGACGTGAAAGAAAGCAATTTTAAATCGATCAGCTTAATCGGTCCTTGGTGAAAGTCACTCTTAATCTCGCGAGTTGCGAGTTGCGACGGCTCTTTGACCTTTCCGCCTTGCTCATCGCAACATTCGCGTGAATATTGTTCGCGAAAATGAATTCTCGCGATATGAAAGTGAACTGAATCGTGAACCTTTGCGCATCGTCCGCCAGTTCGGTCGCGCGTGCCAGCTTCTGTTGCGCGGAGAGGCGCAGTTCTTCTTTCTTGTGTAGACTCGCCTCGATCTCCTGCACCCTCTTCGTCAGAACGGTCCGGTCTTGCTCCGCCTGTTGATGTGTCACGTAGGAAAGAATATAGTTCGATTTCGTTGCCTTGCGGAAAATCTAACGGAGCTCGATGTAACGATGGTTAGTAATTTCGAGCCTCGGCTCGTGGTATCCGGGCTCATAGGGCCCAGTTTGAATTTCCGAGTTCTTTTCCCGAGCAGTTCGAATGATTTGATCGATTTTTGGACCCGTTCCTTCTCAGAAGTCCTCCAAAGAACGAGGGTAAAATTTAGCTCTCCTATTTAACGGATTATATTAATCCGTTGATATAATTAACACCACGAGGCAATTGACACCGAAGATTAAGATGTTATTGTTAACAGCCCGATCGGCTTATCGCCATATCAATAACGGGGAGTCATCGATACGCACTCTGGACCAGGATTTCTCACATTGCTCCAGATCGGCGGTGGATTGTTCCAGATTTGCCTTGAAGATAGTGGAATCGCGCTCCAACTGGGCCAACCGCTTCTGCAGGTCGCCGCGGTCGTCGTCGAGCCTGTCGGCTCTCACGTTCTCCTGCTTCGCTTTCGTCTCGTTGACTTCGACCTTCTCGTTCGCGGCGTCCATCTCCAGCTTCAGCGCCGCGATTTTCTTCTTGATCGCCTCCATCGTGACGCGCGGCTTCGCACTCTTCCTTTATCGAGTGTCTCTCTTGATCGGTCCCGGCAAGCTGCAAGACACGATGGATTCAGAAACAATGAGAGGTCAAAAGGCAGAAAGCGCACCCCCGACGATCACCGTGAGCTCGCAGATCAAACTCGACGTGCTTAATTAATTAATGACGAATTAATCTGGGTCTGCGAAGAACGTTACTTTAAAATGATCGTCCTATTCTCGAAATTTCTTCCAGTGAAATTTCACCCGGAAATTAGAGTTGCCATCGAGTCACTCGAATCCACGTGACTTTTCGCTCATACAAAGTGAATCCCCCGTTCTGGATCGTCCAGTGAATGATCTCCCTCGAAATTGAAGAGTGAATTCGATGCATGTATCTCACCGTCACAGGAGCGTATTCATTCTAATCGATCGAAACATTTATTCATATACAGGGTGTCCCAAGATTCTCTCATGCGGGAGTATACAGTAAGATTTTTTATGCCAAGAGAAGTAACTTTTCCTGTGTCAAAAATTGCGTTCGAATAATAGTACCGGAGAAACAAACAATTGAAAGAATGGAGTTTGTCGCTAAGTAAGCTTCGAGGGAAGAAATAAGTAGTACAACTATTTTCTTCGGTCTCAATTTCGAGTAACTTGCTTGAACAGAATTTTAATCTAAGGGCTTAACTTCAAACACGTGTTATATTGGGAATAGAAAAGTCACTATAAATAATGATCTTCCTCGATATTTTCGCTCGGGGACGAGGTAACTTCTTCTGGTACGAAGGATCTCCGCGTGCGAGAATTTTGCAACACCCCGCGTGTATCGTCGAAATTCGCTCGAAGCTCGAGCGAAACGCTCACTCCTGCGACTTCGAGTATTTTCGTTGACGCCTCGAATGAAAATACCGGCCCGCTTTTCGCTCGTTTTCAGTGAGATTCCGCCCCGAGGAATTTGGAGAGCACGTACTTCTCGGGCGCAACGAGAGGAGAGAAGGAGGACGCCGAGTGGCGCAACCGATGGTGCGAGAAACTACGGCACTACGTTCACCGCCGAGGTCAGACCCCGGTCATTCATCAGCGCCCGATACCTTATCGTCAGCCCCGTTGACCTCGCGCGCGCACACCCCCGTCGACGTTGCGAGGACGCCCGACGAGCCGGACGCGCTTGTCTTCCACTTTCCTCGCGATTAATCTCGCGCTGCTGCCGGACGAGGAGCGAAATTCCTACTAAAGGGGGACAAACACTTACTGCGATGATCGCGGCGATGATCCGCGGGGAGAATGCCACAACCGGATGCCTTCGACAGCTCAGCTAAAATAAAACGAAACCGGTCACCGCCGGTGCCGAGCCGCCACCTCCTCTCTCGGACTCCCCGATCGTCCAATCTAATTCTATAATTGCTTAGGGACTTTGGCCGCCGGCCCGGATTCACCCTCCGGGCCCGCTATCGCCGTGGGCTGCCTACGAAACGCGATATCCGCCCGTCCCCGTGCTATTCTCGGCCCCCTCCTTCGAGAAGAATCCCGTTCCTGTTTCCCGACGACCACGTAACCGACTCCTCCTCGTTGTTGTAAACAGCCTGGCCAGCCCTGCGTCGACAGGGCCGATCGCCGACGAGCCTCTGAAATGTCGATCACCGTGAGAATCGGCACATCGAGTCTTCCCTCTGGCTAACTACCCGTCGAGCGAGCGGATTGACGTCAGACGCGCGAGCTTCCGACAAGGTAGTATTGACGCGAGCTCGAAAAGCTCGGGCCTTAAAGAGCCTGACATTTTAAAGCAATTAAAATATCAATTAGTGTCGATCTCGATAATTATCATGTTACACGTCTCAGAAGAAGAGAATTTTTCATCACAGTTGTATCCTTGCGAAGTCTCCATTTTTAGCTTTGAACTCTATTCGTGACTTTGGGACAGCGTTTTGCTCTGACTTATCATTCGACAAACATATACACTCAATATCTGCCTTGGTGTACACCAAATTATTATTGTTGTAGTGATTTGGAAAATATATATTCGGACTTGAAAAATTTTATACCGTTCCTTGGTTAAACCACACACTATGAACATGGCTCGGCAGTTTGGTCTCCTTGTTAAAAAGATTCCTCAATCTTTCTCGAATGCGTTTAACATAAATTTGTTGGAAAGACTGGTTACCATCAAATTGTGAGAGGCTTCATAGAACAAAATAAGTATACAAAATTAGAATTTACCAGCGAAAAACTCCGTTGGATCTCCGGAAACTTGCGAGTTCGCAGTCTGGATCTTCGCAACTCGCGAGATTAAGCGACGATTTAAAATTACTGTCAAGTGTTACCTGCTCTATCTCGCTAACACAGATAGAAATCACAAACTTTCCCATTATTGTTGAACAAGTTACAGTTAATTGGAAATTAGCGTCGGCACAGTTCTTATTCGGAAATTAGCTTAATCGGACTTTGATGAAAGTCACCGAAGATGAAGATAAAACGACGAAGATAAGTAAAGGAAGTTGGACGGAGCGATGTACCGTTAAGATAGTCGTCTCCTGAAAGAAATTTCTTAGGAATTCGCCGTAACTTGGAGCACGAGAATGAATAAGACGGCATAAATCTAGCGAAAGATATATTTAATCGTTTTGCCGGTTTATTTCTTTACAACAGTCTGTCAGATTGTAACACATAACTTGTCGGTGTAAGCTACTATGGGATGCTGTGCGTGACGAGATAGAGGGACAAAGGCTACGCGAATGACTGATGCTACGGATGTTCTTCGATGCGGATGATTTCACTATTACTCTTAAACACTTAATCGTTATACACGCGTACGGTGTAAGATCGTTTCTCGATCGTTTCACGAATACGGATCCGTAAGCAGACTTTCGTAAGTGCCGACGATACGAACGTAACGTCGTCTAACTGTTTCGGGTGTCTCAGAAGGAGATCGAATCTTCACTCGACGGTAAGGAGTGTCCTCGAGTATCGTATATAATACCGTCGTAATCTCTTGTGAACATGGCACACAGTAAAGACGTCGAGTACAATTCGGTAGAAATGCGCGTATTTGCCGGCCATCGTGCGTACACGCAGACGATATATCCGAAAGTAACAGACCGTGCGGATGGTTGCTCCGCTCCCCGTGCGCGCACACATGCCCCGTGAGAGTACCGTCGGTATTGAAAAAAGCGGTGCATATTGACATAGAGTTTTGGCAAAGATGTAGTACATGTATATATGCATATCAAGAAAAGCGCTCGAAACAATATATCGATATCAAATACGATCGTATCGCATCGTAATGTGTAAATGCATCACTTTCCCTGGCACAACAGCTTCGTAATAACGAGGGGGAACGCAAACCGCGCACGAGTAACAAACAATACAGTGCAATACGCGCGAGTGGCGCCCGCGGCATCGACTGTCAACGGAACGATTAAGAAGTAAAACGGGGAAAACGTACAGTAAACGCGAAAACTCGTAATATATAATGATAATAATAATAATAATAATAATAACCAACGCAGGTCGAGAAGCATCAACGAGAGATACCAATTTTTTTCCTTTACGGTGATCAACCGACGAACGCGATATATATGGGTGTATACCTCAACAAATGCCTCGTGGGCTAATAAGTACGATATAAGAGACGAATCAAGAGAACAAAGGAAAGACACGAAACCGCTTGAAAAAGAAGTCGCTGGCTCCTTCCATGTCGCTCGGGTCCTAAGTGCAGCGCGATTGATCGCGAAAAGTTAAGTTACGTACCACGATATACATATACTTAAAATTAACGTACGATCTTTTACTGGGCGGAAATAGAGACGATGCTACGAATTCATCAAAGACGCGCGCACGCGTATACGCCGTGCACGACACCGGAGAGGAAACCTAAAAGGTGCTGATGCGCCACTGATAGGAGCAGCATCGTCATCTGGAGAGATTAGACCCTGTCTCGGAGTCGACGGACATTAACAGCACGTAAGTCGGTGTGTATGTGAGCAACAGGTGCACGGCGTCCTCGCGATCGAGCGCCCGTAGCTGTTGCACCAGCGAGCCGACGGTGCACTCCGCACCCGCGCAGTTCAGCAATCTGCGGGAATAGAACAGCGGAAGAGGATTAATCGCGGCTCACGCTCAAGTATGATATTGTTATAAAAACCTAGAGGATTATCACAAGCGTCGCTTAAAATTCGAGAGATTGTCATCACAATCAATACCTTTTCGGAAACATTTTCTCCCTCTTTCTCTATCTGTATCTTTTTTTTCTTCGTTATTATCCGACATGTCAAAGGAATATCTCTCCGTTCAGATAAAGAAATTAAGTCAAATAGATTAAAAGAACAATAAATTATTGAAATTAAGGAATCATGAAAAATAAAGAAACGTTTCAGGTTTCAGGTAGTTCTTCGCCCGGAAGAAGTGAATTGAAATATTCAGGAAACGTCGGAAACAAATCAACGAAGGACGCGGCGCTAACCCGGGAGCCAATTTAAGTGTTTCTCCGCATCGCGAAAGAGGCGAAAATGTCACGATCAAATACATGATTGGCTCTCACCTCAACGTCGGGCTGTCCACTGTGCTGTCCAATTGGGCGACGCGATCGCCCAAGCCGAGTCTCACGGCGAGCAGACACCAGTCTCTGCCATGATGGTCGGGCGGGTCCAACATCTGCGCGAGTCGTCTCTGCACAGCGGGCTTTATGTACTTGACCGGCTGCTTCGGGCCTGGCACGTAATTCTCCATCAACGGTAGCCCGCAGCCCACTATCTCCCACACGGTCTCCTGACGGTCGTTCAAAGGGTTCTTAAGGGTCGCCTCCTCGAGGCCTTTGTCGATCAAAGCCGATATAACTGTGGCGGGCGCCCAAGAGTGAATCACCTGGAAGTGCGCGCGATAAAATAGACGTGTAATGAGATGTCCGGTCGCCTATCGATTTCCCACGATGCTGAAATACACGCGTAGAACGTTTATCACAGCCCTCACCTCGTCGTACTCGCGTAACTGGCTGGGACTCAGCCAATGCTTCTCGAGCAGCATGCCGGGCGCCACCAATTCGATGGTGGTGTCTATCGCGTCCAGGATCACGCTGAGAAGGGCGAAGCACTGGGTGCTGGAGCTGCGCGGCCCGCGTACCTGGATCTCCACGCAGCTGTGCTCCTCTTCCTCGAAGGTGATGATGCTCTCGCACGGGCCGACGCAGAGCTTCGATCCGCGCCACCATTGGTACAGGTCCGAATTGGACGGGTCCCACGTCTGAGTGATCTTCCTCAGTTGCGCCTACGCGCGCGATTCGAGAGGTATTTTAACTTCTCCCCCACGTCACAGCTTATTTATTATCGGGAACATCGATTACCTGTAAATGCGTGAATATCGCGGTCAAGTGGTACAAAGGCGCTTCCTCCGGGCAAAGGCGCAAGCCAGCGTGAGGTAACGCGTTGGAGCACGCTTTCCACGGCTCCCACAGGCCGGGCAGACGCTCCACCAGGTTCAAGCACGGTATCTCGTACTCCACTTCATCTTCGTCCACCTCGCACTGAAACGACAAAAACGCTCTCGGGTAACAATGATCGATCGGCCGCATTCGGATTGTACGCGCCCTCAGAACGTACCGGAACGCACAGATTGACCGCTTGCAAGGCTTGAAGCGCTTGGGCGGCGGGGCAAGGGCATCGCGCCTGGAAATCCTCCAGGGTGTAGACGCCGGTGGTGCGGCCGCCCAGACGTCCTCTCTGATCGGGACTCAGCTGCCAATTCAGCACGTCCTGCCAGAACCACTCGGGGCTGAGCACTATCAGGTTACCCGGCAGTAAAATGCATTCTCCTAGATTCTGTAATTCGAGTTTAACAGTTTAACGAATTTATCTCGGAGGAAAGAGAGGTTACCGCTGCTTGTATCGTGCCCAGCAAGCAAGAAATCATTAACATAATTTTCACTATAATAATATTTTATAACACGTAACGTTACCAAATATATAAATGTTGTATATGTCCATTGTTAGCTTAATATTTGACCCGAACGTTGAAAATCATATTTCTACGTTATGATTGTAACGTTCTCGAATATTATATTATGAAATAACAGTTTGAAAACATTTCTAAAATATTAAATCAAAACGTTTCTAAAATTCACTTAAAGTCAATGTATCGAGAGATTGATTTGATGCTTCTTGTTTACTGGGTGCATTATATCGGGGTTACGAATCGCGAACCTGTAACTGCAGTCCGAGATGCCTGCAATGTTCCAGGCAGACCAACGGGTTGATCCTCCGGACTTCGTTGAGAAACTCCTCCTGCGTGAGCATCAACGGTGGCACTTCCAGGGATTGCACGTACGTCCTCCACGCCTCGGCGAGACCGGTCCACACTAGGGCGCTCTATAACGCGCGATTAACATCCATAGTAACAGAATAGTGCGTTCTCCGGTTATCACATTGATGCAGAAAATATATACAAGAGAGAGATAGTAAGAAAGAGAGATAGATTCTTTCCTTTTTTTATACTTTCTTTAAGTTGACAATATATATATAATATATATATATATATAGAGTGCATGTATGTATATATGGGAGAAAGCGTTAGTGCAACTATTGAACCAAAGTACAGTTTCGTTATACACATCACTCTTATTAAAGAAATTGAGAGAAGTATTTCGACCTGTTTATCAAGATTCGCCAGGGGCACGTACGTAGCCGCAGCACGCGGCGCGTCACGTCGGAGAATACTTTCTGCAACTTCCGGTCCATCCTACATCATGCATTGCATGCATTAAGGCTGATGTTAATAAACATTAATGGCCAAATAATCAGCAACTAAAACATATGTTCTTAATAATTCGATTCGGTGTGATTATACATATATATATATGATGTATATACATATGACACGTATATATATATACATATACATACATATATATACATATGACATGATATCGGACACGTTCGTTGAAAAGGTGTGCTCAATCAAACATTGCAAATGATCGAATGTCGCAAGAGAGTCATGAGACATACAAAAGGTACTCCCGATGCTTTCGTAAGTTCTTTGTACATATATCAAATCAACCATGCATCATGGATGACTAGAGGAAAAATCGTATAAGTGAGTAGAGAGATCGTCGCATTGCCTCCGGCGGTGGGAGTCAACGCCCCCGGATTCGGCAGCGTGTCTCGCGCTGCGGGATCCGGGAGATCGATGAATGAATTAGTACAGATAACAGCGTAATGAGGTAGTCCATCATTGACCAGAACCGTTTCACCGGCGGATGCGCACATGAATTTACCGCATGCTGTACAGATTAGTATAATCCTCGCGGACACGTGATTATTTACACACGAGTAAGAGTCACCGGTTAATTAGCCGCCCATTTCAACGGGGTTGCGTCAATTGAACGGTTCTGCTCGCACATATTTCAAGCATACTGATATCATGCATTTACTGATTTGGAGTGGATTAAAGATAAATGTAATATCCGATGGTGAGAATAATCTTAAGACTAGAAGAGATCGCAGAGATTCTCTCGTCGGATGAGAGAGAGAGAGAGAGAGAGGAGAGGGGAAAGAGATTCGATCAGAAATCCGAAATCGAGCGGATCAAATTTCCAGCTGCCGCTCGACTAAAGATCGAGCGCGACGAGAAAACGACGCGTCTCTTCTAATATTATAGATGTACGGTATAATAAATAATCATATTTGTATAGAGAATATAATCGCTTCACCTCGAGAAATTCCATCCTCGCGTTATTTAAGTAAGATCTGAGGAGTTTGAGGCCGGGACTAGAGGGATTAGTCGCGTCCAGTGCTACCATTTGAGGCTCCTCCCCGAGAATCGACGTAAAGTCTTTCAGAAATGGCAAGAGCGGTGCGAGTAAGTTGCCGCCGTTCGAATTCGGGGCTAAAGGTTCCGGCGCGTAAGTGCCGACTAAAATTACTTTTACGTCGCTGCATTTGCCGCCAAATCCTTCAATGAGAGAAGCATTCCCAACAAATTAGATTCGCTTTCGACCAGTGTCTCTGATAAATAAATCATCGATTACGTACAAGGTAAATTACGAAACACACACGTACACGCGCGCACACACATACGAATACAGAAAGAAATATAAGACGCAGTTTTGCTCGGAGCCTCACCGACGTTACTCGGATTGATGCGGTCCAGGATAAACTGCAGCCAGAATTTGATTTGCTGAAGTTGAACGGTGAGCGGCTCTCTCAAACTAACTGTGATAAGATGCACCGCCGGCTGTTGGAACGTGAGCACGTAGTGGTAAGACGCCAGGAATTCCTCGCGTCCGCACAACTCCCAGAATACGCACTCGCCACCTGTTCAACCAGACGTGTCCGTATAAACCCGTCAATCAGTGTGTTCGTAACATAAATATCTCAATATTAGATTAAATATGAACAGGTGTGTGTGTGTCCCGCGCAAAGTAACGTGATATAAATATATACTACGTTACCGCGCGAATTCCATTCATATTAAACCAAGTGAATTAAAGCGCAATTCGCTCACCTACGTTACCACGACTCCACTCTACCCCCTGTGTACCTTCATACTCACTGTCGCTGTACTCGAAACTGAGAGAACCGTGCTTACTCGTCACGTCCAACTCGATACTAGGTTCTCTCTGGAAAGAAAAAGAAGGGAAAAAATAGGGAGAAGGTCGATCGCTCTTTCGTTACTTGCGAACCCCTGGTGTTTCACGCATCGCATAACGCACCTTCGCGCTACAATTCTGACTCCTCGACCTTCGGAAGAAGCCGAAGCTGAATATCCCGGACTTTAGGGAACTGATTAACGACGATTTCCCAGAGGCGCAGTGCCCGAGCAGTCGTATGTGCAGCCGATCTATCGGTCTGTGCGTCGGCTGCAGCTGACGAATGTAATTTTCGCGCTGATTCGGCTGAAAGTGAATGAAAACGTGAGTCGACCTTCGCAGGCGGTTTCTTAACGTAGCGAGCGATTGAAACGTGTGAAGCGGAGGGAGAAAGAGAAGACTTACGTTTCGCAACTTATCTAATAAGTTGGCGATATCAGGATATCCATACTTGATCGCGGTGACGTCCGCCCTGATCCCGCGATTCGTTTTATCGACGTCGCAACCAGCAAGGCACAAGTGTCTAACCAGATTAATATGCCCGTGTCGAGCGGCCACGTGTAGCGCCGTGAGACCTTGTTTATTCGGCGTGTCCAGATCGATTCCGCTCTCTATTAGTAGAGTCGTCATTCCTTCGTCGCCGGCCTCGCAGGCGATATGCAAAAGAGTGTCTTCTTTCTGAAGAGCAACGCGTTATCGTTTTATACGCGAAATACATATATACACACATATATATGTATGTACATTCTCGATACACGTGATACACATCGGCAAAATGAATGGAAGATGCCTCACAGAATCTTTCACGTTTAACGGAGCACCCTGCAACAATAACTGAGAGACAGCCTCAACACAGCCTCGCTTCACAGCACTGATCATCGCTCCACCGAGACCCTGAGGAGCTTCAGATTCCTGTGCACAAAAACAGAACAAAACATTGAGATCGTAGCGGACACGCCGACGAGTCACTAGTGAATTCCCTCGGCATTACGAAGCGCGACGTTCGTCGTCGTTTCGCGACGCTCACGTGCGCTGATAAAATCGAGAGAAAATAAATCGCTGACAAGCTCCAGTATATCGCTGTATAACCAAGGTGCGCGAGTACAATAAAGAAAAATATATATACTGTTGACTTAATAATATGTATATTATATATAAAAAATAACTCGTATATATAACGACGTATATATACGACACATAACTGTACAACAGGTAATAACGTCAGAACGGGGCGGGAATTGTTTAAAGAAAACGCACAGAGTCAGTACAGGGTATTCGAAACGAATAAATGTACAATAAACCGCACAATAAACGTGTTTGTGTGTACGTGTGTGTGTGTGTGTGTGTGTGTGTGTATGTGTGTATGCGTGTGTGTGTGCGTGTATGCCTGTATCGATTAACGCGATTCGTTGCTTTCAGGAACACACCGTGAGAATCCAAGGATGTTTAAGGCACGATTCAGCATTTCCTCTCTCCCTAAAATGAAAGGAATGATTCTTTCTCTCTTTCTCTCGTCGGTTCTCTCACGAAAACGATAACGGAGACACTCGAGTGAATAAATGAATTCGTGGTCGCTTCCGCGAACTTACTTCGGATCCTTGATCAACAAGGACCGTATGAAGTCTTTGGCAATCTCGGACACATTGCTGAAGTATTCATTGTCGAATTGGTATTGGCATGCAGCGACGTTCGCGTAAGTCTCTTGCTTGTCCTCGCCCAGAAACGGCGAGGCGCCGCTCAGGAGAATATACGTCAACACACCGACCGCCCAGAGGTCGGTGCCCAGACTCAGCGGTTCATAGTTCACGATCTCCGGCGCCACGAACTCCGGTGTGCCGAATAACGCTCTGTGCTCGGAGCCGGGCACCAGGCGATGCGATAGACCCAAGTCTGCGAAAGCAAGCAGCGTGTGTTGTACTGACGACCCCGACTACGCGGAGGTTTCGGCATTACCTATCAGCTTGATGTTGGGCATCGGCGGTGGCGAGGACAGTAAGATATTTTCAGGCTTAATATCCAGATGAGCAACTTGGTGGGAGTGTAAGTGACTAAGTGCCATTAAAACTTGACGCACCTTGGGGAAAAGATGTCGGATAGAGATTACACGGTTAATCGGCGCATGAATGCATTCACATACCACATGCGCGGCCTCCGCTTCACCGGACGGCGTCCAATGAAACAGTTCACCTCCGGAAATCAATTCCAGGAGCAGCACCACTGTTGTTCCTGTGTCTATCACCTTGTACAAGGAGACGATGTTGGGATGCCTCAGCCGTGCTAAGAGACCGGCCTCCCTTGCTGAAAGGATCAAGTCGTTCCGTCAGATCCAGTTTCTCGGAAATGAAACTACCTTCGATAGACATGACAGTGTGAGAATAAAGATACTACCGATGTCTGCGGCAGCTACACCTCTGGCAACCCGCCTTTTCCTCATAATTTTCGCGGCATACAGCGACCCGGTTTTCACTTCCTTGCATTTTCGTACAATAGCAAATTGACCCCTGGTCGAAGCAGATTTATAAACATTTTCGTGAGATACAAGAGAAATATTATAAAGAAGCGGTTTCGTAGATAAGAATACTCACTTGCCAATCTCTTCAAGCAGCTGATAGTTTTTCTCAATCGGCTCATGGTGGACCTCCATTAAAATATCCCACTCAGAATCTAAGCAACAAACGTAAAACCATTGTATCTTTTAGATCAAAACTCAATTAACCGATATGTACTACAATATGCAAATTAACGGAAGTTTAATCAGACAAGATTACAGCACAGCATTACCTTGAATTCTAAATATCCTATATTATCTATATAAACCATACTTCTAAAAATAAATATCAAGATACATATAATACATGTGTTAATGCCAATCCACCGTAACGTGTCCTATATTTCTTCTTAAGCGACAATAAAATTTCACCAGGAATATGTACACGTCGGGTGATTTAATAAAATAAATAAAAATCTTTTCTAGGTGATCCCCTAAAAATTGGAGCAAATAAAATGGCATAAAAAAGGACATCCTGTCAAAATTAATTGATAACAACAAGAAGAATACAAGTGCGAATAAGAGAGGAGACACAATCGTCAGGCGGCCGACCCAGCGAGCAATTCGTACGATTCGCGACAATTAAGCTCCATAAGCCCTGGGTACCATGCCCTCAAAGTGAAGGGTTGTTGAATCGCCCATTTGACAAAATTCGACGCGACGTTTACGAGATGCGCAGAAGGTACGGAAGACAAACCGATTTCTACTACCGTTCAGTGTTTCCAGCTGGCGAGACGTGCCCGGCATCATCTCCCGGTCGTGCTCATCGTTCGATCTATCCGAACAGTTTTGAGTCTTGCGAAGAGCCGTTACGAAAATTATGTGGCATCCGACGGCCTTCACCCATGCCGGCCGCCCCACACACACAATCGATATGCCTGTATCGCGCGGAACGCCATCTTACATTACGCACTACAGGTTCGTTCGTTCCAGCGGAACTTCCTACGCTACGCGAGAGATACGCATCAAGGCGTTTCTTTTAGCGAAAATGATGTCAACGGTCGTTATTCTTTTTCCGAAGTATCAGCGACACGCGATGCGAAAGTTCATCGTAACTTCCCTGCACTCTTCTCATGTATTCTCGGACAAACTCATGAACTGACAATATTCATGAGATTTCGATTTAGTCTTTGTGACAATAATTCAATTTGTAATTGATTATTAAAGAAGTTATAAATTCAAATATAAACGAAAATACACAAGTGTAATAAATTACAAATAAATATATACACATAAAATTAAAGGAGCGCATATCTTTCGCAAAAGTGAGCGAAATCCAACAAGCTGTAGCTTTTGAACAAATAACGAGATGGCTCAAGAAGCAATTTACGGTTTTCGAAGCCTCTAGTTTTTAAATATATATATAAATATAAAGTTTGCTCGTTTCTTGCGACGAAGATGAACAGATTTTATGACGTCATACCGACTAATACGAACGGATTAGTGTATAATAAATATCATATTCTGAATTCACTTTCATCGGCCTAATGCTCGTATCAAATACAGATTAAAATTGAGATTGGACTGAAATTTGACGAATCAGAAGGAAGTTCACTAAACTCAAGTTTAGTTGAGCTTGTCCCGATTGGTTAAATTTCAATCCAATCTCAATCCTAATCCGTAGTATGATATGGGCATAAGGCCTTGTGTCCGCGATGTTAGAAATCGGCCGGAGATCTGGTATTTATGTTGCTTAAAAGTAGTATGTAGATGCTTAAAAGTATTATGACTTCTGCCCACAGGACGCGGAAACAGCCAATAACCTTTCAGTTCTCGTGGAAAAACGGCACGTTGATTGGCTACCGCGTCGCTCCTTGCCGCGCGGCAAGCGTTACCGCGTCCTGTGTGCAAGAGCCATTGACTACGTTCAGCAGAGAAAGTAGCTTTGCCACCGTTGTCAAATTCGTAAATTTGATTGGCGTATGCTCTTAGATTCAACCAAGATTAAAAGCATACACCAATCAGATTCACGAATTTTATACTATTTAGGATGCGTTTCACATAACGATCGCAACCCCACGCTCGCTACGTCGCGATCATCGTTCTGTTAGCCAATGAGGATTACAAAAGTGAGCAAATTTATTAAAATATTTTTATTCTTCACGTTTTGAGATATACAATCGACCGTCTATTCACTTAGGCTGTATTCTAAAATCCTACTCGACGAGTAGCATTAGAGTAACATTAATTAACCATGTCAAAGAAATCTTTGCACTTTTTGTCCTGATTGGTCAATTAAATGCTCCTCGAACTGCCGAGTAGGTTTTGGAACGCATCTTTCGGCAACGGCCGGCATGGGTGAAGGCCGTTGTCGTTGAAACATCGTAAATATCCACGTGTTTTCGACCACGGGTTCTAACCACATTAAAATTTTAATAAATAAGTAGTTGTTTATTAAATATTTTAGAATCATGACGAAGTCAAAACATAATAATAACAATGATAAGTGGAAACCTGTCACTTTAGAAGGTGCTTTTCTCTCGAGTAGTGTAGGAGGACTTATAGGAATAGAAGAGTTGACAGATTATAATTTAGAAAGGAATAATAAAAGGGACAGTATAATAACAACAAATGTAAAATCTGTAAAAGGGAAGAAGGTATGTATAAACACAACATATATTGTAAAACATATCAGTAAAATAGTTACTTAAATTACTTTTTATTTTGGAATATATATCATGCTTACAGAAAATAATAAAGGATCCCTGTTCAAGTGAGTGGGATGTCACTGATGACACCGATGTTGAACCTCCTGCGAAAAAATCAAAGAATAAAAAAATTAAAACAAAATCTACAAAGAAGAAGAATGAAAAAACGGAGAAATCAACGAAGTCTAAAACTACTGATAAAGAAACTGATTCTGATACCAAAGATAATTTGTGTCTTAGTACAGAAGATGAAGTAAAGTCAACAGAGGTTAATGTTGGAGCTTGGAGTTCCATGGGAGTTCCTCCTGTTGTTATAAAAGCTTTGACTGATCAGAATTTTCATTCTCCTACTGTGATACAAGCTAGGACATTGCCAGCTGCTATATTGGGCCACAGAGATATATTAGGCGCAGCTGAGACAGGTAGCGGCAAAACATTGGCCTTTGGTATTCCAATAATAAAAGGTATTCTAGAATTGAAGAGTCAACAAATGGGAACATTAGTGCCAAAAAAATCTGTAAAAACTAGTAGCAAAAATAAAGAAAGGAATTGTCACAAGAAAGAAACTGGAGGTGATACAATATTTTCTTAGTAACAAAATATTGATTGTTTTTTTGGTTTTTTCGAAGTTACGCTAATGTGCTGTATGTAAATATTTTTCAGATAATAATTTTACAAAGTCTGATTCGGAAGATGACATATCAAAATCTCAGAACTGTGTCCGTGTTGTGGAACTAGATAATTGCCAGCATACTCCGAACAAACCTCTGTATGCATTAATTTTGGCACCAACTCGTGAACTAGTAGTTCAAATAAAACAACACCTTATTCAGGCAGCGAAATATACAGACATTAAGGTGAGAACAATTTTGGTACAACTATAATTATATTTTACATGCATACAACAGATATAATAATATTGATATATGACAATATTACCATATAGATAGCTACTGTATTTGGTGGTCTGGCAGCAGTGAAGCAAGAGAGGATACTGAATCGAGGCCCTGAAATCGTTATCGCCACACCTGGAAGATTGTGGGAATTAATTCAACAAGGCAATTCTCATTTAAGCCAAGTGGATTCTATTCGGTAATCATTTTAATCGAAGAAAAAATATGTCACATTTACTTATTTGTAGAGTCACTAATAACATTTTGTGTGATCTTAGATATTTAGCCATTGACGAGACAGACAGGATGTTGGAGAAGGGTCATTTCCAAGAACTGCACGATATCCTGCAGAAGATAAATGCGAATCCGATGAAACTGGAGAAACGGAAGACGTTTGTTTTCTCGGCTACGCTGACTATGGTACATGATCTGCCGGATTACCTCGAGAGAAAGAAAAAGAGGCACGTCAGGAGTAAAATATACAAGCTCACACCCGGTCAGAAATTGCAAAAAATTATACACTTACTGAAGATAAGGAATCCTAAAGTCGTCGATCTAACGAAGGAGTCAGGTATATTAAATATCAATCGCATTTTAAATATCGATCTGGTCGTTGCATGTATAAATTATTCCTGTATTGCTTATTGATTGAATCGAAATTATCAGGCACGGCCGATAGTCTGACGGAATGTCGAATAGTGTGCACAATCGACCACAAGGATTACTATCTGTATTATTTCTTGAAAAGACACAGCGGAAGAACGTTGGTGTTTTGCAACAGTATCGGCTGTGTGAAAAGATTAGCTACCCTCCTCGGCATACTCGAGTGCAAACCCTTACCTCTGCATGCGAATATGCAACAACGACAACGTTTAAAGAATCTCGAAAGGTTTGGGGCCATTTTCCGTATTTCTCGTGTAATATTTGCACGTACAATAATAATAGCAATTGTAGATTTCAAGCTGATGAAAATGGCCTGCTCATAGCCACGGATGTGGCTGCAAGAGGCTTAGATATACCCAACATCGAGCACGTGATACACTACCAGGTTCCCAGAACATCCGAGGTGAGTATTTGAGATATTTCAACATTTGCTGAAGAATCTACGTACTTACCATGAAATTAATTTAAATATTTCACAGAGTTATGTGCATAGGAGCGGTAGAACGGCAAGAGCTCAGAAAGAAGGGATAACTGTGCTGATGATGGAGCCTTCAGAGAGAGAAAACTACAGCAAGTTGTGCAGAACTCTTGGACGCAGTAAGTTGTTCATATTTCGTGTTGATTTAATCCAAATCCAATCGCAGTGATGTTAACAATATATGCCTACTTTTAGCACAAGACTTGCCCACGTTTCCCGTAGTGGACAGACTGCTGATCGCCATAAAAGAAAGGGTCGACATTGCTCGCGATATCGATAAGCTGGAATTGAAATGTCGCCGAGAAAACACGCAGAAAAGTTGGCTGCGAAAGGCAATAGAGGACATGGATATGGCCGTGGACGATGACGACGTTGACATTGAGTAAGGATTGTCTTTTTTTTTTCCATAACTCTCACAGCACATATTATATATTCTGTTTATTTTAGCGAATCATCAACGGAGTCGGAAGAAGCTGCGGCATTGAAACGACAATTAAAGGCGAAAAAGCATCAGTTGCAATCTTTATTAACGAAGGTGGTATTCCCGAGAGGATTTTCTGGAAAGTATTTCGATGAAAATTTCGGCACAAACATATATCCCGATACGGAAAAGGCCGTTGAAGTGATGAGAAAGGTTATCGAAGATGTTCCCGATCAAAAATGCAGCGAAGGGTCCCGGAAGAGACAGCGATCGCAAAAACCGAAAACATCGAAGAAGCTTAAGAAAGTATAATGTATATACGTATACATACATACATACATACATATATACATATATGTATGTACGTATGTATTTTTTAATACACAGAGACGAGATGGCCAATGTGTCTTCCATCTTTTTACATCGTCGGTTTTACCTTGTATTTAATTTTCATCTGCGGCAAGGTTTGCCAGAAATCAGACAACTCATTCGACGCGAGTTTACATTCTTAATTAATTTGAGCGGTTCGTCATTCTAATCTAAAGCTGAATATACATTGAGCGAACGAACAAGGAACGTACGGCGAGTGCAAGCTTTCGTTATTACAATTTGGAAGATGCTGGAAAATTAGGAGAACGTTTCAAGGGCCGACTTGCTCATAAGACAGCTTATCAAAGAAAGTTCGCATACGTTCAGGCGCGAATGTATCACACATTCGCTGTTTGCTCGTTCACTCAGTGCACACCCACCTCAATATACGGTCTAACGTGCGTCCGCACTTTCTTATCTCAATTATGTTAGTACATTAACATATGGCAGAGGTATGTACAGAGGGTATCTGTATTTCTCCACAAAGACGGATGTACATATCTCCTCGACGCGCGTCCTTGCGAGTACTACAGTACACTTCGTGACAGCGGATATACCGGAAGAACGATCGAAGAACACAGCCCGTTTGTCTACTCGTACAATACAATTTCACTCGCCGCTGCTGCGAGTTCGACACTTGAGACTCCGCGTGCGGCCACGCACTCCGTTCGACTTCAGAACACGGTGTTGTAGATCACTTCGTCCTCCGTGCTGATGATGGAGTCGATCTGCTCGCTCGTCACCATCGAGTTCACGTATCTCTCGTTGCCGAGCATCGGGCCGCAGGCTCCGACGGGCGTCTCGTTGTTGCCCTGCACGATGATCCTGATCCGCGCCATCACATGGCTGCCCGGACACTTCTGCACCTGGTTGTTCGCCGTCGTGTCGCAGATCTCGGCGTAGATCTCCTCGGGCTTGTTGGCCGGGACCAGTTTCGGCGGGGACGGCAACGGCGTCAAGCTGTCCCTCACCCGGGAGTAGTTGGGCTGCAGCTCGACGCACGCCGGGATCTCCAGCACGCTGGTCGACACCGATCTCTGCACGGGCTGCTTGGCGGCGTTCTGGCGGTGCGCCTGCTGAGAGGTAGTTTCCGGCTCCAGACTGGAGTAACGCTCCTGCGATCTCATGGCGATCTCCGGCCTGACCGCGAACGTGAACGAGGCCGACTTCTTCGCGGGGTTGCGATTCCGGTTGCCTTGGGCGAGTTTCGAGATCCTCTCGAGGATGCCGCCGTTGCCGGTGCTCTGTTTCCCTTGATTCCGCTCCTTCGTGGCGGTGCTCCTCCTCAGGTGTTCCAATCCGTCCTTCAGGCTCTGCAGTATCGGCTTCGTCTCCGGCTTCGGCTTGATCTTCTTCAGATGCATCTCCCTCAGGCTCTCGCCGGTCGGGTGTAGCTTCACGGGCGCCACTCGCGGTTCCGTTGCGCGGTCCCCGACCGCCCGGCTACGGCAGAAGAACCAGTTCAGCGCGGAGCACAGATTCTCATCGACGTTAACGTCCTCCCGTATAATGAGGCGACGTTGCCCCGTTATACGCGTCGAATTTTATGTCGCATTCTTCGAGACGGTTGCGATGCTCGGGACACGGGAACTTGCGTAATGAATAAATAATAACGAATAAAAAGGACCAATTAAAATGTTTTATTCGTCATTCATATTCATCGAGCGACTCGCGGGCGCGGATATGAATTCCGAAGTTCGCCTCTCCGACCAGGCCGAATTCCGATTTGAGCAACGAGCGAATTTTACTCCGAGGCCGGTCGACGAGAAGAGCTTACCTGCAGGCCGCCAGTAATCGCTGCATCTTCGGGGAGGCGAGCAATCTCGCCTCCGAAGGGTAACCCAGCCGTGCCCTTCGAACCCTCGGCGCTCCGTTACCGCATACGACCAACTCGAGCATCTCCGGATTGTGCACCGGTCTCTCCGGAACGATGCATCCCAGGACTATCGGGCCGCGCGTCGATGTCTCCAACTGCATCAGACCGCCGTACTCCTTCGGCAGGGGCACGGGCAGCGGCCCCGCTATCAGCCGCACCTGAGAAATCACGAATTAATATTAGCGACAACGGTATTGAAATTCAATTAATTACATCCTGAGTCTTCGTCGACACGTTTGTTGCTGCACACTGTGTTTATTTAATATCTACAAGTACTTATTTAATTGTATAGATATATTTTCGAGTGTACAATAAGATAAATGGGAGAAATTTGTTGCAAGTATTAGTTTTAAGGCAGACGATTTCAGAGAGGGAGGTGTAAGAGAGGACGATATATATTAACTCTACACAGGAAGAACTAACCAATTTTGCGAGCTTTAAGAAAAGAATTTCTGTTTATATGCGCGACAACTTAAGATCTCAATTTTTCCTTCATTCTTCGCTCGAATCAATTTTACCCAAGAGTGTTAAGCTAGTTAAATTAATTGAAATTAAGTGAAATTAATTAAATAAAATTATGAAACTAATGAGGCGAAATATTAAACGCTCTCAAACGTTGTTTTTATGATATAAAATTAAAATTCCTCGCAAAGCCGACTCACTCGGAGAGGCAGCTGCCGCTTGGCGAGGTGGTGAACCTTGTAGAGCATTGCGTCGCCGCCGGTGTCGATGCTGCCGTTCTGACAGATCGCGTAGAACTCGCCCCTGGTCGACAGCGAGGCGAACACCTCGCGTCCGTGAAGATCGATGCATTGCGCGTATTGATCCTTCTCAGGACAACCGCCGGAGATGCCGAAGGAGACCGAGCTGCACCGCCTGGTGTCCTGGAAGACCGCAACGAGTCGCAGGATCTCACCGGCGCGGATCGTCGTCTTCGTGTAATGGGCTCGCAGATTTCCGTTTTCTGGAAGACACAAGCGCGCGCGATCGTACATGGACGAATCCTTACAGAAAAGTACCATTGACTGTGATCAAATCGGCCAGTGATAAATTATCGTTACTCAGCAGTCTTGCTAATATAGTTCTTCTATTTACCACCAGCCAGCTGATACTCTTCTATAAGAGAAGCCGTAACGATGTCATTCGTTCGGCGGAAAGTGCGGATCGCGATAATCGCGATTCGTTTCTTCGATTACGTTGCACCGGATCCCGTTAACAACGTCGAATCGAGGGAAGAAGCGCCTGCAAGGCGATCATAAACGATCCTAACATCGTCGTATCCTACAGGCATCCTTAACGGTACGGACGGACGGACGGCGTTAAAAAGCGTCGCGGCAGAAGTTCTACCCCGGTCATGTCCGCTTGCTCGCGCGCGATGTATATCTAACATCAGGGTCAGAGGCTTACACGTATACCCCCCCCCTCGCATCACCACCCCCGCCGCTGCCGTTACTCGCGTTTTTGCCGATATTTCCCGTTTTAACGAAGTCTCAGTTTTATCGCGCGGTAGTTTACATTCCCCTAACGAATGTCATCCGTCCGTTATTAGCTGCTTTACGATCCCTCGACCTCCGCCGGCCGCCTGGAAGAAAAATAGCCGCGACTCCGCCGCGACTTTGATGGCTTCACGGCTGCGTTGTGAGGCAATAAAAAATCAAATGGACATTTCTTTCACGCCTGTGCGATTGGAATTTTTACACGGATATATTTCATTAAAATCGACCGTCTCTCTCTCTCTCCTTCTCTCTTTCCAACTCTCGACGAAACATTTCGATGCTTCTATAAAAAAGATTTTTGAAAGAAAGATTTGGTAACAATCGCGAAACATTTAGTTGAATAGTCTCTAGATGTTTGGTAGTTGTTGCCAGATCCTTTTTGCCAGTGTATCTTTCCTTTCTGAAGCGAGATTTGATTTATTTTAGACTTGCATACATACATGTGTCTCTTTTTATTTTGCCAACGACAATGATGGAAAGAGGCGGTTTCCAACGTTACTTCGTGAAAGACACGGTCGTACCTGATATTCCGGCGCGCATATTTCTGTTTTCCGCGCGAAGCAAGCGAGGAAAGAGGATCGAGAAAGAAAGAGAGAAAGAGAAGAGGAGAGTGAGATCACTTTCTACGTTGCACCGATATCCCTATGCATCTGGGTCAAGAACGTCGGCGCCGCTTGACATTTCGCGAGGGATCGCGATCGTAAACGCGATCGCGTCGCGCGGCACTTTCCTCAGGCAACTTACCCATTTTTGAGTGCGTCAGAGTGTAGGCGCGCAAAGGAGTCGCCAGTAGAAACGCGGGCACCCCGGTCTTCACCAAAGAGTCCACCCTGCGGTAGACGCGCGCGCTGCCCGTCGTGTTGTTGCCAGATATCACAGAAAACCATCCTGAAAGCAAGAGAGGAACGTGAAATGTCACTGGGAAGACTTATTACGTCGGTGGAGCTACGTAGCTCGTCCGCTCGATCCCAACCTGATCGGAGTAAATATTAACGAAGAGAACGAACGGTCTTCCTTTCATCAGGGAGACCTCTCCTCACAGATTGCCTGTGTCGATTCAACAAGTGATAAATTCTTCAAAAGAACATTGCGCTCTAACGTCTCGCATAAAACGGTAGTTTTACTTCTCTAACGGTGCTTTTAGGGACCCGAATCTGATCGTCCCCGAAAGATACGAAGATTAAAAGTTACGTAAAAATCTACGCGTTATTTACCATCACTCCGTTTTTAATTCGCGCCAGCAGCGGGAAACTGGCAATTGCGGTGATAGATAACTCGCACCAGACGTGGAACGAAGGATCTACGGCTCGTCTGTCGTCCGACGAGAGGGCTCAAGGCTGAAGTTTTGTTAATCGCGGCGAGAACGATTAGGACCGGTTAGCGTCTGTCGAAGTCGGCGGCAAGTAGCGGCCCGATGGTGGTCCCAGACGAAGGATCGGTTAAAAAGCGTATCTATTTGGAAGGAAGGAAACGCGCCTCTGCGGTTCCCGCCAGCTCGTAAAAAGCTCGTCAAATTGCTAGCGGCCGATCCGAAGCCGCGGCGGAGAGACACAGTAGCCGAGTGGTCCGGTCGACCGATCGAAGGTCGGCTGCTTCTTTTGCTCGTCGCTAATTGATTTAAGAATGCCGCCCAGTTGCGAACGCACGTACGACGCTGCAATCCGGCCCTTAAGGACCGCAACGCCCCGAAATGCCACCGGTCGTTCCGCGCGTCCATTAAGGATGCCTTTCGACGAAAGCCGCGGCGGCTCCGGCTTCCCGAACGCTTCTCAGCGGTCATTTTTCACAGGATTTCCCGAAAGGAAAATATGCCGTCCCGTGACTAATTGGGTTAACGCGGTAGAAGCGTATCCGAGTGACGCGTGAGTTTCCGCAGGAACTCCCATTTCATGCGGATGACGATTTTACTTGCCCGATGAGGGATTATTTTACTTTATAAAGACCGACCGTTCCAATTTCTTGGTAAGATTTACCCGGCAGGTGTCTATTAACGGCAATCTGTTGTTGATTGGTCTGGCCAATAGGTACCTGTCGGGTAAATCTCACTAAGAAATTGGAACAATCGGCCCTAAGAATACTTAGAGTACAGTAAAAAAACTGTTTTCTTCCATTTTTACCCGGAAAGAAACCAAAAAGATCCGTGGGGAAAATAAAAAAATAAAAAACAGGTTTTCCAATTTCTTTCACTCATCCGCGGAAAGAAATCGGAAAAACCGCGGAAAAATCGAAAAAAATTAGATTTTTTCCGAACCCTTAAAATGATAATTTAGAGAATGTCGAATAGGGGAAAAAAATCCAAATGTCATTAACATAACAGACCGAGAAATTGGGCCTGCTAACGCTCACACATAAATTCCGTACGATAGTCGACGTGTTAATACATCGGTTGCAGACGATCGTATAAAATCTCGCACTGCGACGAGATATTTCTTCACCGGGGAGAGTATTGCAGCTTCTATCGCGTGTGTGACCTTTGTTATTTTCGCATTTTATCTATCCCTTCGATCGGCCGGAACAGAAGAGCAGTCGCGAGAGGGTTACTCGCGTGTCGCCCGGCGAACCAGCGCGCGTAGTCCGTAAGACGAGGAAAGAGGTGGCACGGGGAAAAGAGGGAGGGCGGTTTCCCTTGGGAAAGTTTTTCCGTTTCCAGCTTGCGCGCATTAATTCCGTTCGAGGTTAACTGATGGAATAATCAAGCGGCCGGCGGCAGCGACAACGACGACGACGGGGTTCTTTTTCTCTCTGTTTCTTTTCTGTTCTAGATCAACGACCTGGAAACTCACGGCAATTAGACGGGTGATATTGGCTCTCTCGGTGCGCCTCTCTTGAGAACGCCCCGAGAAGGAAGCTAATGGAGTTTCCTCGGTCGTTCCTCGATACTGCAACAACGGTAAGGAGCGACGGGACGGCCGGGATAAAGCGTGTACTCCGGAAAAGAAACGTTGCAGAGGCGCGCGTTGCGGTTGCAGTTGCACAAGAGGCGAGTGCGCGGCGACGGCCTTCCCTCACTTTCCATTTCCACGCGCGCATCCGACGCACAGGTAACGCGACCGCGAGAGAGCGAACCGAGCGAGCGCGCGCTCGAGTCGTAATTATAGAGATCGCGGCATCCGCTGGGAGGAAAAGGAAAAAGGAAAGAAGAGAGAGGGAGAGAAAAAAACGGGAAGATCCGATGGAAAAGTTGAGGCATTCGCGGAACGCTGTAACGCGCCAACGGTTTCCCGACGTGCGCGTCGCGGCGCTCCGCGCATTGTTTCGCGTAATTGCGGCGTTACGCGCTTATTGGTTCGTGTAATGAAACGTGCGCCTTCCCCCGGATTCCTCGCCATTCGGGCAGCATTTTCCATTTCCTATTTTCCGAACTGACGACGGCGCGATGTCGCGTTTCTCCTGAGAAATTCATATCGCGCGAGGATGCGCGCAGATGCGCGAAGCACCTTGAAGTTTCGTGCAATTAAGGCACTTGGTCCCGTAGAGTGCCAGATTTTCAGTGGCGATATCAAGGGATCCCTGTGCAAGTTTATTATTTATTGAAAAAAACTACCGTACAACTTGATCTAACTATTTCGGCAATAAATGTTAATTTGAGCAAAACTAGGAGCGAACGAAATATCCACACAATATCGCAAACGCGGAGATATACTATTCATCTCTTATTTTTCTTATTGATGCTTTATTTATACAACAGATGAACTAATAGAAAATAGTATGTAAATATTTAAATATGTATATATGTACATATATATATCGCAAGGCTATAAATTATAAATTTCCTAAACGAAATGGTCATTTTTAAAATTTTTGTATAATGTCTTTGTCCTTAATATCGCGGTAGCCTTTTATTAAAATCTTAAATATAACTTAGAAGAAATTAAAAACGCAGAAGTTAAAAATAGGACATTAACCTCAAGGGATATGTAAAAAAAAGTGTCATCTTTAATTGCGAATATTTCAACTTCTGAATGGTCAATCGTTTTCTAACTCTATAGACGTATAGATTCCCATCGATATAGCAGCTAGATTTGAAAATAATTCCTGAGAAAATAAGTCCCTAAGTTTGATGAAACAACTATCTCAAAGATTACTTATATCTTAAAGGTCTGCGGAGAATCTTTTTCGCCGAGTTCGAAATACAATATCGATACGACGCGTCTTTCGACAGGTGGGACGTATCGTACGCGTAATCCCTGTTACGGGACCGCGAGTTTTGAAAGAGCGCACAGCCGTGGCTCTTAATAGGGTTCATTAACTCTCCTCTGCACGCATTGCTGAGCAAACGCGGAACGCACATACGAGAGCGATTGCTCCTCTCGGGAGCGGCGCGATCTCTTCGCGCGTGAATCAACGAGCTAAATGTTCCTGAAAGAGTCCGTTTCATCCTGTCGTTTTTAACGCATCACCGCCGTACGCACGTGTTTACGGTCCATGGTCGGCGTGCCACCGCTATAACTGTGTGTGCGCGTGTTTTTTAAGTTGTGTGCGTGCACACTACATCATAAATGCTGGTCCGTTACCAAACGGAACACGTTGTAAACCTATTCACAGCACGTGTCTGAATTTAATGCCCGGACGGGAGACAGACTCGCTCTTTCACAGGTAGGACACGTAAAAGTGTCGCCGCCTCTTGGAACCTTAAATGTGAATCATCTGAGTCCATGGTGCGGTATCGAGCGACCGTTTATTTTCGAGCCGTTGAAAGACGGACGCCTCAAGTCCCGATTTCCGGAAGAATGTCATCGGAAATCGATTCAATTAACACTAGAAGCACCGTACGGTCGTTTCTATTCTTTAGATCAATACTCCATTTCTTTTTTACACAAGATAGGATTCGGAAAATTTATGACTTTTCATCAGTTATTTAATAAAGGAAATGATTGATGGAAAGTCATGAAATTTCAGATTCTTATCGTTTACACGAGAAATGTTAGTCTAAAGAATAGAAACGGTCAGGAATGATCGCTCGGTACTTCTAATGTTGATCAACGCGTGCGAGAGAGATGGAGATCGAAGGCGGTATTGAAGTCTCAACGAGCGGTTCCGGTTCCTTCGGGAAACGGGGGATCACGTAGCTCGCGCGAATGATCGTTAATTGCGACGGGGGAAAACGTTATTCCCAAAGTTCGTATCATCGCCGGCCTTAATGGCCGTCCAGGAACTCGAGGATCGCGGCGACTCGAAGCACCAGATGTCGGCCGTGATTTAGTCGCGCTCGTTGGAATTGCGTTACACATTGCAGCGCGTCTGGAGAATTAATTCTAATTCATGCTTAGCCGGCAGGCACGAGAGAGGAAAGTTTTCCCCTCGATAAAACAAACAATAGGCTGGATGCCTGTGGCCGCGGTGTGTCTGCAGATGTCTCGTTTTCATTCGACGGCAATCAAAGCGGAATCTGGCGGACGCGCGCGCCTTTACGCTCTCGCTCCGATCGAGCCTGCTGTCGAACGGAGACGCGGGATTACAAAGTGCCTTCCCGTCTCGCAGTCCTTCGTTTACGTTTACGTCGCGACACGATAAGATCGCCGCGCCGATTATTATTTGTCAAACGGCGCGAGCGTTCACCTTGCTGGGAATTTTTCCAGCGCGGACCGGATTTCTACCCGGGCGGGTAATTATGGAAACGTGATTGAATGGCAGATCGCACGCGAGATTAGCGGGACGATATCGATCGGGAATATTTCGACGCGAGATCGCCGGTGTCGGCGTGACGTTCCAGGTAAACATTGTGGTATCCAGGCGCGCGATATATGTGTTTAGGAGGAGCATTAAGTAAGGGAGACTGCAGCCTACATCTCGCGGCTGGAATCTTTATTGTGCATAATTCACGTTACGCCGCGAGATCAATCATTCGGGATATAATATTACCTGGACGTGAATCGAACCGTGACAAT